GACCCTGCGGTCATGCATGTCAGCTGTATCAACGCAGGAAATTTTCTTGCTCGGCTAGGCCGTCCCGAAGTATTTCAGTGCATCAAGGCATTGGAACAATATAGCTATGCTTATGAAGAGACGAAGGAACATGCAAAGGAGATCAGCCGCGAGTATGACGCTGCGCTGCAAAAGGGTCCGAATAATTTCCACGAAATGGCTAGCGCCATCAGCCCATCTTCTCGTGCCTTCCCTGCAGAGATCATGAGCGTCGACGCGCTAACCAACGGCAATGGCAAGCACCATGGAAATACGGTGAGTCCTTTTCTTTAATTCCCGAGGCGATAGGCTCATGCATGATGCGCTAGTACATGTCGATTTAAAGCGTTATTCTAGGCTTTTACCCCTTTATTATTTTCGCCCTTGTAGATCGGTTACTTGCGGTCTCCTAAGCCCTTATACGGATTATTGTTTACTCCCCTCCCAGCCCTTCCTGCATCCATGGACTCACATTTTCGATTATGTAGTTATTCGAGCCTCCCATTTGGTTTCACCATGTTGTCTAAATAGTACGATGTACTGTAGCAGGATATATTCCAGATAGTGATACCCTTTATCCCAGGCGGACGCTCTTGATAACTTTGGATATACCAGACTGCTCGCCTGTATATTTTGAGGCATCGCCGATACCACCTTTGTAAACAGCACGTTGTGATGACACCCTCTTTTTGGCTTGCTCGTATTTTTGGCGTTTTTTAACACGGGGATTGCGTACACTCTTTGACCTGTGCGGCGTTAGTCCCTTATTTTTCATGATGGCTCGCGTGACCGAGCGCGGGCCAGATGTTTCATCATGTTGATCAGAGACAAGTCTACGAGGATCAGATGAGAAAGTCCCGTGATATATGAAAACTGGGGCTTACCGCTCGGCCGCCCGAACCTCCTCATAGTCCATCTTTTTCTTGCTCTTCTTGTCCGCGGCCTGTCGTTTTACGAGCTCGTAATAGCCATGTACTGCAGCCGTGTCGCTATCATCATCGTCCTCAACATCAACATCTCTCCGTCTCTTTTTGCCGCGGTTGCTTGCATCAGTAATTTCGGGATCCACACCATCCAGGTCATCTCCGCCCATCCCCAATGTTCCGGCCTTGCGCTGCCGCTCTTTCTCCATTCTCTGTTCCTTTTCTTTCCTTCGTTCGCGGTAAGGAATGTCATCATCACCGCCCACTGCATTGACACGAGCGTTCTGGCGCCGTGCAGTAGCGCTTTCAATCCGTGACACATGGAAACGCAAGCTCTTCTTGCGTGCCTGTTTGTCCGTGGCGTCAGCGTGTTGTAGGAACGTGGATTCACCAAATGCGTCTGTGCTACCGGTGTCAGCGGGAGCCGAACGCTTCTTCTTTGCGGAAGTCGAGGCCACCTCAAAGTCTGGCTCGACAAGGTCGAAGATTGGCTGTCCATTTTTATCTTCGGAAGTCTTGCGTTTTTTCTTGGGAGGGTTAGCTTCTATCATCTCTTTCTTGGACGCCTTTCCGGTTTTTTTCTCGGCGTCCATCAATAAATCTGTAAGTTCGTTAGATTCGAGACCCTTCGCCATTAGAATGCTCCACAAGTCAGATCCTGGTTCGTCGTATGCATCTTCATCATCTTCTTCGTCTTCTTCTTCCTGCGAATCAGTGCCAACGCCCAAATTTTCTAACATGATGAGTGATTGTTTGAGAGTGAGCAAGCGATTTAGGACAGGGTGCTGTCTCAGGAGTAGAGGACGGCCTGCGTATTTATCCGAGGAGCGAAGATGAAGATAAAATGCGAGGGTAGTGGCATAGGTCAGGAGAGCCTCTGCAATGTAAAAAAAGAACTGGTTGGTCAGAAATTTGGATACGTCACAAGTAAAATAAGCAGGAGGTGAGAACTGACGGTAGTATACGTGCAGGAGTCCGAGTTCAATTCCATCGGTTTCTTTCTCCGATGCTCTAAACAAATGTTGAGCATGAATGTTGGAAAGAAGTGTTATGAAAACTCACGCGGCGATTTTTGCTTGTATTTCGATGAGATTACGGGCCGTATCATCCCAGTCACGGGCCAAGGCAAGAGCCTCTGGATTTTCTCTTTCCAGGTGCTGCAAGATGGTCGTCTTGTCATTTGAGGATGCGTCGATTAGGGGCCGTGATTGTTCCTCTAATGAATCTCTGAAAACAATGTAAGCCACGGATAACAAACGAATGATACTACGTACTCAACCTCAGCGTCGGATGCTGGTTCAAGACCTTCGCCCAATCCAAAATCGCCCTCGTCAATAGCGTCTCGAGCCTTCAGCTGAAGTTTGCGTGCTTCCTGTTCCTCCAGTTCATTCGCCTCCTCGTCTCCTGAGTCGATCTGGGCGGCATTAGAGGAGTAATACGCTGACTTGCTTCGGCCCCAGGACTCATCCTCCTCAGATCCGGTGTCTGGAGATGACGCCTTCTTCAACTTGGTTTTTCTCCTGGCGACAACTGCATCTTCTTCATCGTCTTCATCTTCAGCATGCGCAAGTCCGTCCTCGTCCTCTTCAGCTTCCTCTGAATCCTCGTCTGATACCCCTTCAAGAGCAAACACTTCGTCTTCATCCCCGTCTTCATCCTCGACATCCCCATCTTCATTCAAAAGAATCTTATCCCTGGACGCATGAACTAAGATGATGATAGTTTTCAACATGAAATCATTTTCGGGATATGACAACGTACATTGGTCCTCTTCGTCTAACTCAATATCAGAAGCCTTATTCCACCGTTTTATTTTACCATCCTTGCGATCCACTGGCCGCGACTTCGAGCGAGAATTACTCTTACCAGATGACGGTCGACGGCGAGGCATACTTGGGTTTCAATGTTGGATGCCGGAAGTGCTTTCATGTCACGGTGTTTATTTTGACGTGACGTGACTGTCGAGTCTGAACCGTTTCAATTCGTTTGGATCTTCAAGCATTTTATTCACAAATATGGTGTTGAAGGTGAGCTGTTTAGGCTGGCGCAGTGGAGGGACATTAAATAGCATCATCATCACCTGCATTAGCTGCACTGCCATTTGTCCTACACCACTTGTCACCTCTCGCGGCATCCTGAACCTTTTTCGTCCGTTTTGGCTAATGGCACCCGTTCCGCACTTTCTTGCACTTTCATATCACCTTCTGTCTTCCTCAGGCCACATTAAAACCCTCCCGTACCTCTTATTTCACTGATTTCCCAGCGAGCTTGGCTGCTTGCCCCCCCGCTTTACGTCCGAACACAGCCCCAGCAGTCAGTCCGCTACCTCCGGGGTAGTTGTCATAAAACAAACCACCAACCATTTCACCCGTGCAGAAAAGGCCTTTTATTGGCGCATCTGTCTCTTTCGACAGTATGCCAGCGGTGTCCGGATCTATAGCGAGTCCGCCGAAGGTAAAAGTGATACCACACGCGACTTTTACCGCCAGGAAGGGTCCCTGATTGATCGGCAGTGCCCAGTTTGATTTTGGAAGTTGCAGCGCTACCGTGGTAGACTGAGTCGAAAGTCCATCTTTGACCGCGGGGTCCCATCTAAGAGTTGGATTTTCAGCTCGATGACTTTGGACTGCCGTGTTGAAATCGTGCACTGTCTTGAGAAAACACTCTTTATCCTTGAGTCCTTTCTCAAGTAGCTTGTCTGCAAGCTCCTCCATATTCCCAGCACAGATCTTCTCGACGATCTCATCCCCATATTCCTCCTTCCGGAGAAATGGAACCATGTCTGCACCCCACACTTGGAATGCACACCCTTCCGGTTGGAGAAGGATTTGTCGCCCAAACTTGGCATATGTGAAATTTCTGAAATCCTGCCCTTCGTCGACGAAACGTTGACCATAGATATTAACCATGATACCCAGAGGATAACCTGACTTTGTGAATTGATTGCTGAGCTCCCTGTCGCCTGCATCTGCTGGTGCATTTGCATCCCAACACGTGCTGTGACATCCTGCCCAATCTCCAATAAGTTTTGCACCAACAGCTTGGGCCATGGCAAAGCCGTCACCCGTATTGTAAGGAGTGCCCCTGACCTGTACGTTATTTCAGTTGTTATGTAAGGTTCCTCGAGCAACTGTTGCAACTTACGTGTGCCTTTTCCCATTCAGAACCAAGATGTTTAGCCCGGAGCTCTGAGCTAGATTCGTAACCACCTGCTGCCAGCACTACTGAAGAGGCTGAAAGATCCAATTCCTTGCCGTCTATCTCAACCACAAGACCCGTTATTGTTCCTTTTTCAACCTTGAGCCTGACGGCAGGAGACTCGAACCAAATCTCCACTCCGGCCTTCTCTAGTGCCTTCATATGGGCCTTTATTAACCCCTTTCCGCCATCCTCAGTACTGAGTGCCATACCACCCCAGAACTTTTGCCTCCCATGTACCTCGTATGCTTGGCGGTGGAATGACAGAATGAACGGAATATCTACCATCCGCGCGAGCCATTCAACCGCTTCTCTCGAGGATTCCACCATGGACTTCACCAGCTTAGTGTCTGGCTTATCTTGGCCAAGGCGCTTAATGTCCCCAATAAAGTCCTCGACAGTGTAAGGATCCACGTCGATCTTGGACGCCTGCTCTGGCGTGACATTGCGCACGATTGGGAGGAGATCTTGTAGTCCCCCGTGGACTGTTCTATGCGCACCTGCTGTGAAGTAGCCGTTACCGCCAACCCAATCGCGTGGGGCTTTTTCGACGATAAGGACAGAGGTACAACCTGCCTCAACAGCGGCAAGGGCTGCCGAGCAACCTGCATGGCCGCTCCCGACCACGATGCAATCATAATGTGTGGACATTTTAGACAATCAAGAGTGCCTTTGCCACCTTTGTGTTTAGGGCGAGTTTTTCAAAAAGTATTAAATATGCATCCTTCTTTGTTCGCATAGTAAGTCATGCTGGACACACGGCCGCCCGGTGCTAGACATGTGAGTACTCGCCATATTGGGGATGCATTGCTTCACGTATTAATTGTTATTAGTACATAGCTTCCTTGATGAAAATGTATATTACACTCTGCCAGGATTCACAGCCAAGGTTCCGCCATCAATAACAAGTTCCTGCCCATTCATATAAGCTCCAGCAGGCGATGCGAGATAAACGGCAGTGCCTGCCATCTCAGCAGCACTGTTACGTTTTCCTGTCAGTGAACATTCTGGTTCATGAATTAAGCTCACTCACGTTCCTGGCCTCTTCGCTGGTATAGACACCACCGGCATACCGATCGCATCAGTCGCCGCTTGTCCTGAAATCGTGTCGTATGTCATCTCGCTTTCATACACGCCTGGCGCGATAGCGTTCACTCGAACATTGATCCCTTTGAGAGCAAATTCCGTCGAAAGCATCTTGGTGAGGTGAGACCCAGCAGCTTTTGAGCTGTTGTAGCAGAACTTTCGCACCCAAGTTAACGATGATACAAGAAATTGGAATTGAGTTTGCTCACATGTCTCTGTGCAAACTTGACGAGTCCGCTCATACTCGTGATATTAATAACGCTTGAAGAGAATCCCTCTTTATCGTTATTCTTGGATCCCTTATCGAGCAAATCCAAAAACGCAACGGTTACAAAGTAGATTGAAAAGGTATTGATTGCATAAAGGGAGCTCCATTCCTCGAACGATTCATTGTTGAAGAGGTATTCACTGAGTGGTCCGGCCTCTTTTTGAGCAGTCGGCGATGGTCGATTCAACTCAGAGGAGAGAGGACCTGATTGGCCGGCACTTCGTTCAATCATGATCATGGTGAGTCACAAAACAATAAAGAGAGTGGGTGTCATACTTGTTCACGAGGATATGCAACTTTCCATCCGCTTGAGCTATTCTCGTTACACCAGCCTGAATACTGTCTTTCTTCGTTACATCCATCTCATGCCTATGGATGATGCTTGATCAGCCCGCACGAAACGCATAAACAATGGATCTCACGCTATCATAGATCCCATGTCGTCTCCTTTGGTTCCATTCCACTCCGAAACTACTTTGTCGAGAACTTCCTTTCGTCGACCAGTGATATACACCTTGGCCCCATTGGCAGCGAGGCCACGAGCAATCATAAGGCCGATGCCTGTGCCGCCACCGGTCACCAGTGCGATCAAGCCATTGAGATCGTATAAGTTCTTCAGCGTGAAACTTTCAGGTATAGACATGGTGAGAGACAAACTAGCGATCGGCTCTCGAAAGACTGGCGAAATGAACAGGTTCACAAGACCATAGCTGACTGTGTAAATAGAATCGCACCCCCAATCAGGCAGGAATTCTACGTGTGTGGCAGGAGTCTGTGTGTTTAGACCCTACGTAGCACAGACCCTGAACATGAAGTCAGGCGGGTCTTCATTAATGTCATTCACTGAACTTTGACTCACAGGTGGATCCTTCGTATGTGGGTCACGTTGCAGAATTCAAACTGTCTCAGAAACGATTCAAGTAGTGAGGCATGTGGGACCCCGGCTACTGTCGTGAAAGGCTGGCCTGCAGAGAAGGTAGTTTGCTCACAATTTTGGCAATGCTTCATCATGCAGTGGTGGCAAATCATGATCACATGCATCACATATGCGAACAAATTCCTTTTCAACATCATCCACTGTTTTCGCAAGGACAGGAATGGAGGAATGATCTGTCTAGCGACCACCATCGTCAGAACCTTGATGAATGTTGTTGCGACTTGATCATTTTAAATAAGAACGACTCCGAGTCCAAGAGATGGCGCTGACTCTCGCCAACCGTCCGAAGGTCAACCGTAGCTTGCGAAGATTGGGAATATAAAGGCGAAACACGAGCGATGTTAACTCGGTGTGTCGAATATTTGATTTGTCCGAGTCGACGGCAAAAATGAGTAGTTCTAGTCGCAGCTGGTCGACGTTTCAACGTTAACGTTATTAACTCCCACCTATACCCCCATTCAAGTTCATTTTATATAAGCGTGTCCGAGCGTGTCCAGTACTTTCACGACGAACATTGAAACAATTGCACATCACAGTCATCTTCTGTCATACACATGGGAGCTGGTTCTCGCAAACGGCCCCGTGCACGGGCTTCTTTTACAAGTTCTGGAGCATGCCAATCAGGGTTCCTTTCCCTTGGTCTTCTAACAATGACTCAACCTGCGGCGGCTCTCCTCCTTAGTAGTAGTAGGCTTCAAGTTCGGACCCTTCACTGCTTACTGCCCCTAGTGCTTCTGAAGCAAACGACCGACCTGTATCGCCGAGGCCACCAGAGGCACTCCACACACCCAAGAAGCGATCATGTAGCCTGAGGATCCATTTACACTTTATCATTCTTGAATCCCTGATTGTGTTCAACTCCGTTTCTGACCGTATTGCAGATGTACATGAGTTTGTACGTCTAAGGTTCGCTCGTCTTTCGCCCAACTTGGCGACAGATGATTCTCGATCAGACGGTCCCCGATGTTGCTGTGTCCTGTCTGTTTTTGAAAGTAATGGAGGTCAATTCTTTGGTCAAGGAAGAGAAGGAATGGGCCAATATCGCGTTCATGTTATCGATATACGGAAAGATAGCGCAACGGATGCTCGAGTGTGTAGACTTTATTTTACTCTGATTTGAAGAAGTTTTGTGAGTTGATTCGACCGCATCGTGGCCTGAGACTAACCAAGACATTCGCACAGGCGACACAACTCGGCAAGGACGTCTCCATTGAAATGGATACCGTGATTCAGAGCTGTCTCATGTAACAATTCGAGTGGCTTGCTGTACCGTGACTATTCACTATACGGGTAAGCGGAGAGCTTAGACTTCCTCTGAATTTTCTGATATTCAACGACTCGTATACTAGAGGTTCTCGCCTTCAATGACATGAAGTATGCAGCTAATTCTAGAATTGAACACCTCCAAGCGTTGTCTCCCAGGTACTCGGGAAGCCATTCTGTCCGACATCAAGTCCTGGCTCGGAAGCGCTGGGAAAGATGTTCCACGCGTCCTATGGTTTCTCGGAACAGCATGAAAAGGCAAGTTGGTCTTTGCCCATGCAATAGCCGAATGATTTACTGAGATTGGGGCTCTAGAATCTTCTGCTTCGAATGCACGCAGGAGGGGCTTGTTGCACCTGGTCACGCAAATACCCGGCAGCTGATTCTTCATCTGCTTTCCGGCAGGCTGTCCTTGTGGGTAATCAGATTATTGGAAAACATCTGTATTCTCATCTCTTCTCGACCACTGGAAGACATCTACGACGCACTGCACACCGCGCCACATGTTCGTCGTGTATCCACAAAACAAGGCATCCAGCTTAGCATTTCCACTAGTTTGTCAGGCCTGTGCAATATCTTCAACGATACACGTCCACGCCCTTGCTCACAAACCCGACGGCCTGTTTGAATGTGCTCGTCTTGCCTCTGTCACTCTGAGCATGTCAAGGGCACCAACAATGTGGATACCACACCAATGCCTTTCGACGCCGTGGTTGCTAGAACATCTGCATAAGGAACACGTCTGTTGGACGATATGTACAGACGCATCATGGCAGAAATCATGACAGATGATGATAACGCGGAATTGATCACTATGTTTTTCTTTCTGTGATGGGACAGATTCCTACATCACTGGAACCGCTCTGCGTTGACCACCATGCGAATGCATCTTCCGCGCGAGGATGACTGCTACTACGTAAGCTCAGTCATCGGACATCTGGCTTGTCACCGGCGTTGATACATATGTCTCTTCTACAACTTTCTCACAAAGAAATCGCGGAGCAAGAAGTACCTTTGCCTCGAGGATATGAAGCACGGGCTTCGCTTTAACTCTGCTCCTTGAAGAGTTCTTACTTGCCTAATTCCGCCGTCCCCGGTTTGGAAAAATGAACGAAGGAGTTCATCCCGGCAGAGCTACCGTACTCGTGTCGATTCTGGATGACACACGCAAGCTTTTCCCTTTCAACCATTTCTAGCCAATGAAATTTTCAATGGGAAACGATTCCTTATCTGGCTCTAATGAAAGGGCTCAGCGCTTCTCCGGGGTCTTTCGTGTATCACAGATTGCTCTATGGTGCGTAGTCATATTCCGTTGTTGGGACCATTGGAGTCTTGTGGGTTGTTGCAGGGTCTTTGGACATTGATAGAATATGGATCGTGTCTGGCTCAGCTGTCAGGATGATCCGGGCGTAGAACCCAGAGACATTGCATTGGGTGCCCTTCTTTTGGGGCACATTGATGCCGTTGTGTCTGTTGTAGTCTCGCCAGATGGAAAATGTATCCTGTTAGGTTCATCCGGATGTGTGATGCGGGTACTGGCGAGGCTTGAATCTTCCTCTCCGATGACACACCCTCTGCATTCACTGTGTTGCAATCTCTCCTGATGGAAGATGCATCGTCTCTAGTTCAGCCGACTGCACAATCGGGCTGTGAGACATAGAAACGGGAGATGCATTGGGTACCTCTCTTTGAGGCAGACTGGTGGTGTTCGGGTGTTCGATCAAACCGAATGGAAACATCGTATCCGCTTCAGACGACAGGACAATCCAGGCATGGGACACAGACTAGCTGCGAACTGGGCGCCTCACTCCGAGGGTATACCGTGACGGAATACGTCTGGTCTATCACAATCTCGCCAGATACATGACACATAGTGTCTAGTTCCGATCATATGACGAACCGGATATAGGATGCGGAGACTGGCAACGTACTACTGGGTGTCCCTTCCAAAGGGCACACTGATCATGTTCAGCCCGTGGTAATTGCGTGGAAAGTTCACCGTGTCCGTTTCACATAATGGATTCACCATGATGTGCGATCTGAAGTTTATCGTTCATTGCCGACTCCTGCTCTGTCCGCCGCATTCTTTTCTTCTTTCTCCAAGGTTCTCGCGTCTCGCAGATGAGGGATAGTCCATAGCTCCGCAAGGACTTCTTTTGTGGAATCCAATCCTTTTCCGCCTGTCCGTCTACTCCAACAACATGCTGGTGGTACTAATGATTCCGTGCAACCTTGATTTAAGCTGTTTCGCGCATGGTACCTCATGAGTGTCCAGAACAGTAAACTGCGCTATCCTCATGACAATGTTTCTCGTAGGATATGCTCTAGGCATTAGAGGGTACACACTATGCACAGTACAACCCTTGAAGTGGTAGCATGTGTGTGCAGTCAGTAGTCAGGCAGTATCAGGTGCAGTTTGCTGTATGAGAATTAGCGTATTTCTTACAACTCTATTAAAGCTTCGAGATACCCATACACGCTGAGCTGAAATATTCATAGATACTGACCTTTCATTCATCCCTGTCTTGTAGTTTATCTGGCAGCTGCGACCCCAACCAGCTCTGCACAATAGCCACCATAAACAAGATGACGAATACTGCGTTTCCTCCGAGAAGATTGTATTCCTTTGATGCAGCAAATAGTGAAGTCGCCAAGGCAGGCCCAATGGCACGAGCTACCGACGCGGATGTTTGGCCAAGCCCATTGATGGCGCCAAGCGTATTCTTCGTAGGGGCAGAAGCTCTCATAAACATCAAGAGAGTCCCTGTACTGAGGTAAATTTGTAATGACAAGTTGATGTCACTGCAACACGCACCAAGTCCCATGCTACATATGGCTGACAAAACTAGTTGGCAAAGTAAAGCAAACGTGACTGCATGATCAACTCCACCCCTTGCGCGTACAAGCCAGGACATTATCGGCAACACAACCATGAGCAATGCGTAGGACGATACTGACACGCTGAATAGACGCTTTGGACCAAGTCGATCGACAAGTTTGGCGAAGAGCAATGCCTGAAGGACACCATCCATGATCCCGAACAACGCTAGCCACGAGCCAATGGATGAAGGTTCGAATCCAAGACCACCAAGATAGGTAGGTGTCGAAAAGAACAGCGGCACGAGAGCCCTACGAGAAATGTCAAGGAAAGCAAATACGGTATAGTTGGCAATTGGAACAACAACAGCAGGTGTGAGTAGAGATCGCAATGAGACATTTGCCATGGATTGTTGAGGCAGTGATTCACCACTTGAATCGCCGAGCGTGGCTGATGACAACTTAGGTCGACGCTTTGTTGATAATGTCTGCTGATCGTGAGTAACGTGTGCGATGCGACAGATATGTAGAACCTACTTCTTCTAAGAAGAATACCATTGTGAAAAGGGCCACAAAGAGCACACATGCTGCCACTGCGCAAGGCAGAAAGTATGGGTAATTTCCCCAGAATGAATTGGCGAATAATACGGGCCAATGATCTTGCGGTCGCGCAAGCGTTCCACCCATTAAAGGACTAATATGCAATTTCATCATCCAACACTCTCATATTTAACCAGTTCACTTGCCCAAGAAAGTTTCCAAGGCTCCAGATGATCGGGATCAAGGAAAATGCCTGAGCCATATTTGTGGAGTCCGTCAATTCTCCCATCATGGTCTTCATAACTCCAATGTTGCCATTTAGAACACCGCACACACAGCGGCTGAAAAACCCGTGTTAGTACGACGTATCCTCCTTTCAGTTGAGGACACACCTAATGACAAGACTCCAGAAGGTCGTTGAAAGACCGAAACACAGTATCGAAAGGCAAGCACCTGAGAGTCCAACTACCAACACCGGCTTGCGCCCAATGCGATCAGACAACCTACTCCACCTCAGTACTGTCAGTGCTTGTGTGACGAAAAACAGAGATTCCTGTTGAGCATGTCCAACAGTAGACTATGAGAAAATCATTCTTGCAAGTGGCAATCCTAGGACCTACAATGATTCCAGCATAATACCCCACAGCTGCATCGTCACCCCTAGTGATCCCAAGTTCTCTGATAAGCTGAGAGAATGAAAAATTATTTTAAAAAAATGCATATCGAAAGCGAAGTGTTGTAAGTCAGAAGCCATACCTGGTTGATGTACGGGAATATAGAGGTGGAAGCGATGGCTTCCGCGAATTGTATCGTCAAAACTATGCCCAACTGGAGTTTTGGAAGTGGAGTTTTAGGCTTTGAGACCTCTGCAGGGATCAGAGGGGTGGTCTCGCTCGCTATACGAGAATGGGAGGTGTCCATCTTGGAAACTCAGGGCTGAAAATCCAGCGAAAGTCCAAAGGCAAAAACGCTGGCAGCGAAATGAAGCCACCTTGATTCTGAACGAAGACGACACGGACAGTGAATATGAATCCGAGTCCTGAGCGGCTGTACTTATAGCCTGCGCATTATTGGTTGGTTTTGCCAGCGACATACTAGTCCTGCTCAATAACAATTTTATTTTTTTATTTCGTGACAGTCCGTGCAAAAGCTTCCGAGACAAAATGCAAATAAACTTTCACGTGCGCACATATCGGAGCTGGAAATCAGATACGCGACGGCTGAACGGCACGCACGTCTTTGCACTGACCCAGACGACGTTGTTCATGCTATTCCCCTCACGCTATAACGTCTCTCGATGCACTCGCTATCATCCTGCTGGCTGATGCAGGGACACCGGATGACCAACTCTTTGCAGTAACCGCGAGCGGCGACCCGAGTCAGCGGCCCGGGTTCTTGGCAAGCATACATGGAAACATAGCAATTGAACGTTGAACATTTGAACAAGCAAGTCGCATCACCATGTTTGGCAAGAAAGTTAAACTTAAATGCTAGCGACGGCAATCAAATTATTTATATGAGCGACACAAGTCTGTTGCCAGTGAACGCACTTTCAAGTCATGTTTCACGACGGAAGGTTTAGTTGTTGTTTTCCGGGTTAAATCGGAGTACACTTTGGGGTGTTGTAGCTAGGGTGGCCCGTGGGCTAGGCCCACGGACGATTGGGAGTGATTAACAGCTATACCCACTAATGTAAACAGATGTAAATAACGCGCTCCATGAGCTCTTGATCATCTATCCAGTGTACTAAGTACATATTCTCCCGTCACTATACATATGCAGGATCTCACAGCACTTCACAGTCACGGAAAACATGAGCACCCAAGCGGCCGATTCAACTATCAGGATAGAAGCTAGGCCTGAAGCTGACCCACTACGAATCGGCACCCCATTACCTTTAGGTCAGGTCTCCTCCGAATCAGATGCCCGCCCATCTTCATCAAAAGCTCCAACATACCTCAAAATTTACCTCCAAGATGACTGTCTAAAGCACCGATTCATCCGCTCACGAGATACCTCGAGCATCGTGGAGCGACCCGAACGTCTACGCGCCGTCAAGATTGGACTCGCTGCCGCCATAGCGCGTATCGAAGAGGCCGAAGGTGCTTTGAAGCCTTTAGATGCGAGTGTTTCTGTAGAGGATGAGCTAGTTGCTGCACTCGGAAAGATGGATATCGCTACATCCGATGCTGGACTTATTCGAGCTCGAAGTATTTCTGTCACAAGAAGTACGGCTACTGTCGATCTCTTGGATAACGCTGCGGTGAAATACATCCATGGGGATATAGATGGGGATGTGTATCTCCAAACTTTGAAGGCATGGGCTCGGGATAGCGAAGATAATATAACCAAGAAGGGGTCTGAAATGCCGGAGGGGATGCCACCGCTCGACCTGTATCGTACGTGTCTGTCTGGGGAATTTAGCCATGAGGCTGATGTTTCGCATCCTTGTAGTATGTCCCTCATCCATCGATGCTATCCAAGGCGCTATTGGCACCGTGTGCCAAGCAGTCGACGCGGTCATTGCGTCTACTAGCATAAATCCTTCTGTCGTGGCTACCGGCCCTCAACGAGCATTTGTAGTAGTGAGACCCCCTGGCCATCATTGTGGTGAAGATACCCCGTCTGGATTCTGTTTTGTAAACAATGTCGCGATTGGTGCAGCTCATGGTGAGCTTCGCCAACCTCAATTAGTACCCATTCACTCATACACTTTGTAGCACACCTCAAACACGGAATTCAACGTGTTGTTATACTGGATATTGATTTACACCATGGCAAGTTCAAGGTCGTTCGTCAGGAACTTTCTACCTAAACGTTCTGATAGGAAATGGCACGCAGTCAATAGTATGGCAAATCAATGAAGAGACCTACCGACAGACGCTTGAATCTGAACAGTCGCCTTCTGAACCCAATGCACCTCCCCGAACTCGTGGTCCACAGATATTCTACGGCTCAATACACGACATTCTCTCTTTCCCGTGCGAGGTAGGGAACGCTTCTGTTATTCGTTCGTTGCTAGTGATTCAGCAGCATATTATAGGACGGTAAGGTGTCCTTTGTTCAAGCCGCGTCAACCTCGATACACGGATCACATGGACAATACATCGAGAATATACATCTGCAAACTTACAGCTCCGAAACACACTTTTGGGAAGTTCTCTACAAGGAACAATATTCGACGCTGCTGAAGAGAGCATCGCAATTCCTTGACGGTACCGGCGGACCAGGCGATGATGTCATGGTCTTCATCAGGTGCGTTTATTATATCTCGTGTCCAAGCTCCCATGGTAGACGGTTGAAACAGTTGTGGTTTCGATGCTGGTGAACACGAGTATCCCAGTATGTCTCGTCATAACCGAAAGGTCCCTACAAGTTTCTATCATCAATTTACTCTCGACACGTGCACTTTTGCCGATATTTATGCTCGTGGACACGTCGTGAGCGTGCTCGAAGGCGGGTACAGCGATCGTGCGCTGAGTAGCGGGGCAATGGCACATATATGTGGACTCGTTGGGGATACCGTCCGAGTGGATGAAAGGTGGTGGGACTTGGAAAACCTTATCAAGGTATTTCAGCGTGCAATGCGTCTCCCTGTACTGTACTCAAAATTTGTAGCTCGAGAAAGCCACCAAGGCCCGTAAATTTGGGCACCCTTCGCAAGGAAACGCCGATATCGAGCCATGGCTTACACGTACCTCAGAGCTGCTCTCCCATCTCGACGTCTACCGAACCCCGCCACAACCTTCACGGAATTGGGCCCCAGCGACATCGAGGGCCCTACGCGAGCGCAAGAAGCTCGCGAGAAACAGCGGCACACCTGAGGTGGCCAGTAAGCCAGGCAAGGATACGCAGATACCAGCGCCTGTATCCAGTAGTTCGTTGACTTCCACATCTATGTCCGAGAGTGAGCCTGTGGACTCTCTCAGTGCGAAGAAGCTGCCTCGAGTTATTTTACATGTCAGGCCCCCGGAGGGCACGTCGTAAAGGTGGTGTATGTGATATTGATACGTGCTGATTGTTGGAAGCTTTTTTTATATCTAACGTGTACTTGTTAATGCGAATATTGATATTTCTTCATTAGCTCGTTCGAATTTCGTGCGGATCTTGTCGATTATGTCTGGACCTAGACCTCAATAATGACGATCGTTATAGATCATCGGTCATCTACGGATGACATCCCGGTGTCGACGGCAAACCAAATTTTCATTGGTTGGATCACATGGATAGTCGCATACTTTAGTGGAGAACTGTTATTCCTTATGGGACAAGTCAATTATGTAAATGGAGGCTTTGATGCGGCGTCAATATCTTCTTAAACAACCGTGGTCCGTGACAGTAAAACTCAGTTGTTCGCAATGTCAACGTTCGACTATGTAGAAATTCCACCAGATGTGATTCGTCTGCAATCATCTATAGCCTCTAATCCTGTTCGTCCATTCACAAAAATCAGCACATCATTACCATGTTCGCCCACTCCTGCCGCAGCTGCAGCTGCGGCCAGTACCACCTTCAGCCCGACAAAGTCACTGTCTACCCTTCTTCTTAACACATCTTTCCCAGCTTCTATCCCTACGTCCGCTAGCCCTCACAAATCCAGCACAGCGCTGCTGAGCACCAGAGACCCTCTCAGCATTCCAATTACCACCGTCAATTTCAGGAGGTTCGTAGCCAGAGTAGGACCCGTGTTTTGGTTGCAGGATCGAGTGGAGGAGGTCCTTATGTGGAGATGCGGGTGGAAGTATACTGGCGTCTGGATTGCTATTTACGCGTTTTTGTGTGCGTGTCATTATTTTCTGTGATGCCGAGCCTTATGTGTTTGCAGGCTACTTTCCTCGCATGGTGCTCCTCGTACCGCATGCTATACTAGCAGCTATAATACTCTCTACATATCCCACTCCTTCGCCATCTGAATCGATAACAACGAAAAACCCACCGGCTCCAGTCGCGCCACCTCCCTCAGAGGGGAGCGTTGACTGGCAAGCTAACCTTCAAGCAATTCAAAACCTCATGGGCGCGTTGTGAGTATCAATTATGCATTTGTATCTTCATTTTCTAACCAGCCGTCTTAGCTGTGATGGCTACGACATTATCTCACCACTTACTCCTCACCTCGTCCATCGATCCACCCATACCTCTCTCATCCTAACACTTACCCTGCTCTCTTTCCTCTTTTTGCTGCCGGTACTGCCTCTAATCCCCCTCCGCCTACTATTCTTTGTCCTAGGCATATTCCCATTTATATGGACGCACCCAGTGACGCAAACGCGGATAATACCGCTGCTCAAAGCTGCTGTAAACGGGAGCATCGTAAAGGGAGCCAACGCGAGTGCTACATTGACGGGAGTAACAAGTTACAAATGCGCTTCATTGAAGATCAAGCTCCGCCGCTGGATCGATGATGATAGGCTCGACGACAAACATTGGGGCGCCGAGATGCGGGAGGTGGAGTTGTGGGAGAACGAGAGGTGGGCTCCGGGCCCTTCTTTATCCTCCTCATTCGGCACACAGGATGATCTTGATGCTGTGGGGTCGGAGTTTAATGTTGGAGATGGGTCCGGAAGTGCATTGCTTGGTGCGGGAGCTGGGACGTGGAGCAAGTCAAATTTGAGGCCTACGGATCGTGCGCCATGGACAAGGGCGAGGGACGGTTGGAGTGGAGTGGGTGGGGAAGTGAGGTGCGTGTTTTCTTAACGGACTGGCGTTGATCACTTAGTTTGAAATCGCTACTAACTCCCTGCGACCCCAGCAGCAACCTCACGTTCTCGCTCGCACCAGGCTGGGCATTCGTAGAGACTGAGGGGTGGAGACCGGACGCACTGGGGAGCTGGGTCTCTGCCTCTGCCTCTAGTTCTAATTCTTGTTCTGCTTCTGGGAGTTGCGATCCTATCTTTGGGGCGGACGACAGTGAGTTTTATGTGTCGCTATCCTATGATGCGCTGATTCTTATTACAATTGATGGTCAGACGGCTGGGTGTACACGAATGACGTATGGGCAGATCCGCGTCGTATACCTCTTGAGTGTTGGAAGACGTTAGGGATGACAAGGCGGAGGAGATGGGTGCGGAGAGTGTATTTTGATCCGGCGCTGGAGAATGCGTGAGGAGTTTTGAGGGAGGAGATGTAGCTTATTCATTATTGTATTACATAGCATGCATGTCGGGATATGTTAGGCTGCTAATCATTCACAACTAACTCTCGAGGCCCGCCTGAGTACTTGTCACTCGAGTACTGACATGAAATCCCAAAGGCATTGATGGATAAAGCAACACATTACGGGATGTTCGAGGCTTGGCCGCGGGTCTTCTCTCTGAATGTACCTACCACCATAGGAACCCGTCGACTGAGGATCAGAGTCATTTGAATTTGCTATCGTCATTGACTTGGATGACAGCTACCCGGCTGATCATTCCGCTCTCTCTCTTTATTAGCCTCTCCTTCGGCACATCATGGAAGGCATAAACATTAGTTGGTGCTGCGAGAAGCAGTGCGTGGTTGCTGCCAGTGTGCGTCGATTTCTTATCAGTTTGAACACTTTTGTTGACGCTTCATTTAAGACATGCCGCAGAGCACATTTGTGACTCGGTCACTCGGAGAGACTATTAAGTGTGTCGGAAGTCGTTGGTGCAAGTTGAATTGTCGATGTTCCTGTACTTTCTGATGGTAGTCCGATGCAGGCGATGCACGATACAAACAATCGTTGATCACACATTTATTTGAGACCATAGGCGCTCTAAGTATGTGCGATGAGCGCCTGCTCCTTCGGCTCGATCCTTACCGGTCCTTAAACTTTCTATGTACTACTATCTGATTGCTTTTGCATAACGCCGACCTACTTTCGCTCGACTGATCTAACTCACAGATCCCCATCCACTCTGCCAATGATCATATGGAACCATCCCTATCCCCAATCAGATCGCTCAGAGGCCACACTGGTTCAACGTTCTCAAAAAACAGGAATCAACTCAAAGTCATAAGCACATCCTTCGACGAGACGGTTCGGATTTGGGACGTGGAAACAAGAGAACAGGAACATTCGTTGGAGGGGCACACTAGTGTGACTCTTGGACTGGCTGTATCGATGGATGGAAGGAGAATTGTGAGTGGGGCGAGAGATGGCAGGATAATCATATGGGACGCAGATACGAAGGAGATCATCAGATGTCTGTTGCATCACACAGACGATGTCAATTGCATACAATTCTCACCTGATGAGAAAAGATTCGCCTCCGCATCGTCCGACGGCACACTAAAGATCTGGGATGCGGAGACAGAGGAACTGGTATTCGACATCGATGACCATCAGGATAAAGTGTGGACAGTGGCCTATTCTCCTAATGGAAGCAAGATTGCGAGTAGGTCAACGGTTCGCATCTGGAACGCAGCGACTGGCAAGCAACAAACACAACCACTTTCCCATGGTGACGCAGTACTAGTACACTCGATAGTCTGGTCTCCAGACAGTCGTCGTCTCATTTCTGCCTGTAATTGGCACCATCATGACGAATGCCGTGTCGCCCTCATTCGTGTCCCCAGCGTCTGACATCACGAGCTACATCGATCAGGTAATGAATTTGTGTCTTGTCTATACACCAGTATATCTGATGCAAGTTTTATTAGAGTCGTAAGCAAGCTTCGGTTCTCTTTCAGTCTCCTATACACCAGCCTCGGACGAGCTACCGGATGGAACCGAGTTCGCTGTAGGCTCGCGTGATGCTGCTAGCTCACCTTCCCCATCTCTGCCCCCTCAAAGTCATTCCAATCATGAAATCACTACTCCAGTCCACTCCCCTCCTCTAGTCGAGCTTTCCGACGGAATCCAAGTCCCTCCAGAAACCATCAACTCGCGTGATGCAGCTGCATCCTCTTCCCCATCTTTTCCCCTCAAAGCTCCTCTCGTCCATAAATACCTGTTGCTCCAGCTTCCACTCCAGTGCTGACCTCACCTCGAAAGTCGTTTTGGAAGCGCTTTCTTATGTCCAACAGGTCTGCAGCATTTGCAGACTCCAAGCGGTGGAAATTCCCGCGCACTGGTAGATGATCATGTACTCAGCTTCTTTGCTCTATGAACATGTCCTGAATTTCGATCCTTAGGCAGCGCAGGCATCGGAACGTGGGACCTGGTGATGCCCAGCATTAGTGTGCTTCCGGTTCTTGTCTTCATGGGGGTGAAGCTCCCCCTCCCGTTCTATCGTATCGTGTATCCCGTACCCACTATCTAACATGACTACTGTTGCTGTCCGTGTGTTCACTGTCACGGATTAGGCATAATATTTCATCCAAGGCAGTTATTCCTCTGAAGCCAGCGCTTTATCCAGCGTGGCACGCCCGTACTAATACAACCACTGACCCACACAGCCCGCAGTCCTGTCGACCGCAAACAAATAATCAATTATTCGATTAACATAGGCCTAATGTCACAACCCAATAACAAATTAACGCTGGGCAGAGACTAGGACTCAAACAACAGAATAATCACAAGAGGATAATACAGCAGGTACGTCTCGGATTGCTCACTAGGAGATACAAGAGGTTTGAACTAAAGAACTACTGACTACAAGACACTACCTATATACACATATTTGTAACTGAGATCGAAACTGAGTCTGAACTAACTACCAATCAAATAATAAGATGATATCGTACGATTCTATATATAATTATGATGTCATGACATGTGCCGCAGCAACCGTAAGGTTCTGGAACATTCTGTCAGGGTCGTTTGGAATAAAGTTTAGTCCGGCATACTCCGATAAGTCACGTGACTCATTCATAGGTTCTTTAGGTAACTCTACAATAGACGCCGTTGTTGGAACATCTTCAACTATAAATACTTTCTTAGTAACAGGCGCTGTGACTGGGCGCTTAAAGGACTTAGAATTTAGGAACGTATAATGGTTCGTATTTGGAACTCGTGACACCTAATCTACATAATGTTGCCTCGCACTACTGATTTAGAGCAAAAATCGCTGGCGGTAAGCAATGAACTGAGTATACAGTGTGTCCATCCCATACTGGTCCAAAACATCCATCATAATACTCTTCTGGACTTCAAGCTGCAGTGACTCGAGTCCCAAACGATCACAAATAAAAATTAGTTGCAGTACGACGGCTCTCTCACTTTCAATACCATATTTCTGAATCAAATGCTTCACATAAACAAGATCCAATCATCAGATTTTAATACGTTCAGATGCCTATATACCTTGATATCAAACAACTCATCAATAAATACTTGCACAGTGCACAAATCCTCAAATCTCCTTGTGAGTCACCTCTTACTCATCCCTGTCTTGTACTTCATCTGGCAACTGGGACGCTAGCCATCTCAACCCACCGGCCAACACAATCAAGACGAAAAAAACTGCATTTCCTCCTAGAAGGTTGTGTTCCTTCGATACAGCAAAGAGCGAAGTCGCCAAGGCAGGACCAATGGCACGAGCTACCGCCGCAGAGGTTTGGCCGAGGCCATTGATAGCGCCAAGGACATTGTTCGTAGGAGCAGAGGCTGTGATGAACATATAAATAGTCCCTGCAACGAGGTGAGTTACTTGTAATGACGAGAAGGTTTCATTGCAACACGCACCATATGTCGTATGCCATATGACTATCATAACTAGATGGAAAAGCAAGGCAAACGTGATTGCATAATCGACTTCCCCCCTTGCACGTACAATCCACGACATTATTGGAAACATAGCCATGAGTGGTGCGTAGCACGACACTGAGACGCAGAATAAACGCTTCGGACCAATCCAATCAACGATTCTGGCGAAAAATAAGCCCTGAAAGGCACCATCAATGATCCCAAACAACGCCAGCCACGAGCCAATGACAGCAGGATCAAATCCAAGACCGCCAAGGTAAGTAGGTGTCGAGAAGAACAGCGGCATAAGAACCCTGAAGGAAACGTCGAGGAGGGCGACCATGGCGTAGTTTGCCATCGGAATGACAACGGAAGGCGTAAGGAGGGATCGTAAGGGCACGTTTGCCATCGAGTTTTTGATGAAAGATTCTCTATCTGGGCTACTTGAAACGCTGATTGCAGTTGAAGTGAACTTCGGCCGACGCTTTGTCGATAGTGTCTACTGATTGTGAGTGATGTGTGCGATATGGCAGGCATGTAAAACTTACTTCTTCTAAGAACATTAACATCATGACAAGGGCCAGGACGAGCAGACAGGCTGCCACTGCACATGGGAGAAAGTATGGATAATTTCTCCAAAACGGACCTGCGAATAATGTAGGCCAATGATCTTGCGGTCGTGCAAGTGTTCCTCCTATCAAAGGACTAACACGTCGATTGGGTCATTTGGCATTTCCATAGTCGACGACTCCACTTACCCAATAAAGCCTCCAATGGACCAGACGATCGGGATCAAGGCGAATGCCTGAGCCATATTTGTGGAGTCCGTCAATTCTCCCATCATAGTCTTCATAACTCCCACATTGCCATTTAGAAAACCACACAAGCAGCGGCTAAGTAAACCTAGTATATTAGCATCGTACATCTCCTTTAGCTAAAGACACACCTAATGACAAGACTCCAGAATGTCGTTGAGAGGCCGAAGCACAGTATCGATATGCAAGCACCTGAGAGTCCAATTACCAACACTGGCCTGCGCCCAATGCGGTCAGACAGCCTACTCCACTTCAGCACCGTCAGTGCCTGCGCGACAAAGAATAGAGATTCCTGCCAATCAAATCCGATGAGCGAACCATTCTTGCAAACACTTCGCAAGTCACCTACAATGATTCCGGCATAATATCCTACAGCCGCGTCATTGCCCCCAGTGATTCCAAGTTCTCTGATCAGCTAAGAGAGCAAAACAGTATCAAAGGTGTACATCGAAGAGAAGTATCGTGGTTGTGAAATCATACCTGATTGATGTACGGGAATATAGATGTCGAAGCGATGGGTTCCGCAAGTTGCAGTGTTATAAGTATGCCTATCTGAAGTTTTGGAAGGGGCGTTTTAGGTTTCTTCGAGTCCTTTGCAGGTACTACCAGAGGCGTCGTCTCGTTTGCCGTGATTTTATGAGAATTGGAAGTAGAGTCCATGCTGGTGATATGGATTCTGCGCTGTCGTCCAGCAACGTTCGATACTACTGCTTCTGCATGTCATGGATCCCTCTTATACTTTTGCATCCTTATCTATAGGCACTGGTTTGGACGCCTTGCGGTGAACGGAATCTCTGAGCCTGGCATCAGTACTCGCCACAGGGACAGTGGTATCTCCTTATGTTTCAAGATCAATATACGGCCCAATGCGAAAATGTGTGGTATCTGCGGCTCCGTCGTGCGGTGCCGGCCGTTTGATACTGCCGCTCCTGCACTTCAAAAATATAGGCTTGTATTCCTTACCTTGTTTCCGTATGTATTGGCTTGGACGCTTTCAAGCGGGCCGACAGTGACTTCAAGTTGTGATCAGCCGAATATGTGAGACTGACACCAACACTCGCCACAGGGACAGCGGCGACTCCTTGTGCGGTGTCCAGGATCCCTGTTATCATCAGCGTAGGCGTGCTCCATTCTCAAGTTGTCGTCGCTACACCTAGTATGTGTCACCATTAGTAATAGATCATACTACCGGGTGCTTGCTAGGGGCAGGAACCTGTACTGTGATACATACCTTATCTCGGGAGAGATTCAGCCCACGAGTGGACGTCACACGAGATGGGAATCATACGATTGTTCGATTGGGAGCCGGGCACATGTCTGTAATAGTCAAAACTGTTGTCCGCTTAACCGTTACGCCAAAATGCAGTAATACTGAAAACTTGTGTTTCAATATCTCGGACGGTATTTTTTGTAGATGATAGGAGCCGGCAGGCTTCGTGAGATATGAAATACAGATGACGCAGTGCGCCCATGATGTTCTGGCACGCCGCGTGTCACCGAAATGTCGCAGGACCCTAGACACAACAATTAGACACACCGGGTGACTGAAGACCACATGATACATTTCTGTTCATCATGACTGTTATACACTAGAAGCACATACTTGATCGATTACTCCTCTAGTTCCCCGATCAGACCACAGGGCCGGGGGGGAACCAAACTATCATCATCCCTTCTTTTAAAACTCGACAGTTCGCCAACCGTTTACAAGGTCTGAATGAATGTGGGACCGTGTTGAATCCTGCAAGGGAAGATCGCGGGATAGCTAAAACAACAAAAAGTAGTGACAAGACTCCGAGAGTAAAGACGAGAAAGTACGGAACCAGTCCCGTGATGAACGTGAGAGTAAAACTGATCATCCAATGCACCAGTCACAATGGCAGACCACGCGGAGGGCATCAGCAATACTGTAGGAATCAACTCAATTCGGCACCCCCATGTGACCGTGACATGCCAGGTCGATTCGACATTCCGACACTTGGGCCTGTGATGTGTGACATGCCGAAAATTTTCGACACCACAAGTCAACACCATACAGGATCCGAGAGACCAGTCGGAGTGCTTACCTCCAAAGGAGAAGTCGAGACCATGGACTTTGTAGTGGACGTGGTACCTGAGGCGGAGGGTAATGATTGCGAGAACCTGGAAGATGCAATGGAATTAGGGCGGGGGAGAAGGAAGAAAAAAGCGAATTCTTTGTACTCACACTCATTCTGGCGCCATCATGATGACGAGAGCTAGATTTTATTAGTAGCCAAAACATTTTGTGCGTCGCACACTTACAGCGCGAATCCGGAGTCGTGTACCACGCGCAAATCTGGGGTCGCCACGGAAGCAAAATTCGATGTTTGTTGTGACGTCAAATGGTTTCGACACACGCTGATGTTACGTGTGACAACTACCTAATTTCGACACCGACACCACCGACTGTGACGTGTGACCGTCGAATTGAATTGATTGCTACAGTATACCAACCGGATTAAAGTCTATGTGTCAGCGTATCTTTCTGGGATTAAATCAACTTACAACGGATCTCTTGTTTGCACTTTGTTAACGTATTGTGCCTTTTGGTGGCTTTCTACCCGGCAAGCGGATCAAAGTTGTTCTTCGAAAAGTCGGATGCATTTCGGAAATGGAGATTCAAGCGGACGCACAATGTTGCAACTCTGGCCCAACGATAGTATAGGTTCGTACTGACGAGTCGATAGCTATACATGGGAGATATATACTCGAGTAGATAACTATAATAACTATAATAAAGTATATATCGCAATTAATGGATTGTTAGTCATAAGGACGTATCATTCTACCAGAATGTGGCGCAATAAATATCTACAGAGTGATAAACACAGATCCTACAATAATGCAATCAGATATATCAATTCCCTCTGTAAGTCACCTGTTACTCTTCCTTGTCCTGTACTTCATCTCGCAACTGGGATGCCAGCCATCTCGATCCACCACCCAACACAATTAAGATGACATAAACTGCATTTCCTCCTAGAAGGTTGTGTTCCTTCGATACAGCAAAGAGCGAAGTCGCCAAAGTGGGACCAACGACACGAGCTACCGATGCAGAGGTTTGGCCGAGGCCATTGATGGCACCAAGGACATTGTTGGTGGGAGCAGAGGCTGTGATAAACATGAAAATAACCCCTGCAATTAAGTGAGTTACTTGTAATGACAGACGGTTTCATTACAACACACACCAAATGCCATATCCCGTACGAGTTGCATACCTGTAAGGCAAAGCAAGGCAAATGTGATTGCATAATCGACTTCTCCCCTTGCGCGTACAATCCACGACATTATCGGAAACATAGCCATGAGTGGTGCGTAGCACGACACTGAGACACAGAATACACGCTTCGGACCAATCCAATCGACGATCCTAGCGAAGAATAATGCTTGAAAGACACCACTCGTGATCCCAAACAATGCCATCCATGAGCCAATAGTAGCAGGATCAAATCCAAGACCGCCAAGATGAGTAGGCGTCGAAAACAACAGTGGCAAAAGAGCACGGAAAGAAATGTCAAGCAAGGCAAGCAGGGCGTAGTTTGCAATCGGAATAACAATGGAAGGCGTGAGCAGAGCTCGCAAGGGCGTATATGCCATGGATTGTTGAGGCAGTAATTCATCACTTGAAATATCGAGCACGGCCAATGTCGACTTTGGCCGACGCTTTGTAGGTAATGTCTGCCGATCGTGAGCAACGTGTACCATAAGACAGGTATGTGAGACCTACTTCTTCTAAGAAGATTGACAACATGAAAACGGCTAGGACGAACAAACAGGCTGCCACCGCGCATGGCAGAAAGTATGGAAACTTTTCCCAAAAGGCGTTGGCGAATAATACAGGCCAACGATCTTGCGGTCGCGCGAGAGTTCCGCCTATTAAAGGACTGACATACCGATTCATTATTTGCTATCTCCATAATCAATTGCTCCGCTTACCCGATAAAGCTTCCAATGCACCAGACAATTGGAAACAAGGCAAATGCCTGAGCCATGTTTGTAGAGTCCGTCAACTCTCCCATCATAGTCTTCATGACCCCCACATTGCCATTTAGAAAACCGCACAAGCAGCGGCTAGGTAAACCTAGCATATCAGCATCGCACATCTCCTTTAGCTGAAGACACACCTAATGACAAGACTCCAGAATGTCGTTGAGAGGCCAAAGCACAGTATCGAAATGCAAGCACCCGAGAGTCCAATTACCAGCACCGGCTTGCGCCCAATGCGGTCAGACAGCCTACCCCACTTCAGCACCGTCAGTACCTGCGCAGCAAAAAACAGAGATTCCTGCCAATCACATCCGATGAGCAAACCATTCTTGCAAGCACTTCGTAAGTCGTAATACTGGCACCTACAATGATTCCAGCATAATATCCTACAGCTGCATCGTCGCCCCCAGTGATTCCGAGTTCTCTGATCAGCTAAAAAAGAAAAACAGTATCAAAAGATGTACATCGAAAAGAAGTATCGTGATTACGAAACCATACCTGATTGATGTACGGGAATATAGATGTCGAAGCGATGGGTTCCGCAAGTTGCAGCGACATAAGTATGCCTATCTGAAGTTTTGGAAGGGGTGTTTTAAGTTTTTTCGAGCTCTTGGTAGGTACCAGGGGCGTTGTCTCGTTTGCCATGATTTCATGAGAATTGGAAGTATCCATCCTGGTGATCTGGATTTTGTGTAGGTTCCGTCGTCCAGTACGTTCGATACTATCGCCCCTGCACTTCATGGATTCTTCATATACTTTCGCATCCTCACCTTGTTTGGGTTGGACGCTTGGTGATGAGGTAAATCTCACACTAGTCCTCACCACAGGGACAGTGGCAGCGGCCGGCGGGGGCTACTAGTTAAACTCGGTTAGTACTCAACAAACTGTCAAGTAAGAATTGAACTGACTGATCCGATCTTACCTGTCAGCTGGGTAGCTTCTCCAATGCATGCATAAGCGACCTCTTTGTTCCCTCATATGCGAAAGAAGGTATGAAAGCGTAAGTGGAGATTGTCCAGAGCAAAAAGCGGGAGATTGGCTACAATGTCTTGACTCGCGATCAGTAAATTTCGGGAGCCAACCTATATTTTGTAAGCCGAAATGTCAATCTTTTTCCTATACATGACGTTATGTTACCTTGTATCGTAATGCACAGGAAAGAACACAATGTCCTCACCGGGTGCTGCTGTGACTTATTACGAGTCCGAAGTAATAGATCGGCTCTCTACTAGTAATATCTTGTTACAATTCAACTTACGTTCCTTAATAAAGGTTGGACTCCGCAAACTTTGTCGGAGAGAGGCGTCATGCATCATGCGTCATGTATTATTGTCTTCACTGCCATCCTTACATGGTCTGTGTGGGAGATAGGCATTCTAGACTCCCTGGGATGTGAGTACGAGTAGTTTTCATCCAGTGACCCCCCGGCTTATCGGCATGGTAGACCGCATTGATGAGTGAACCACTGAGCTACAGTGAGTCGTATTTCCGTTCTCGCCTTGGTGCAGTGTGGTTGACGATACGATTCGAACATGCAGACAGTTCGTTGATAAGAGGCTCAGTCACGGTGCTTGGCTGTCACGCTCGAGCAGGCATCAAATTAGAGGATCATCTCGACAAGCATCTCGAACACTTGACTGCATAAAACATCAGTGACTGAAGTACCTATGACATGTTGTCGTCTCGTTGCGAGTGAATCTCTGGAGTCAGGGCTCGCAAATATTGTTGACGGTTATTGTTGTGCTTTTCCGAACTCGATCAAGGCTTGCCAACCACGCATGTCCTATCATTTTCTGAGATGACTTCTTTTCGTTGCTCTATAATCTTCTATGCTCTCGAAAATCTGACACCCAATCATCTTTCTAACACATCGTTCGCTCAAACCACCCCGAATTCGAATGCAACGCTACGTACGTATATAACAGATGATAGGTTGACTGTACACTCCATATCGTACTCCACAAAGTGTCTCTGGCATCTCCTCCAATTAGTTTACCGGAACGAGGCTATCTTGATGAAGAGCTATAAGGATCAAATTGATTAACTGCGAGGAACGGAAAACACTGGAGACTCACTTCTTGTAGCAGTCCTGCCAGTGTGTGCCACCCACACGACTCAAATCAAGCTCAACACCACTTTTGGGTATCACTAATGCAGTCGGAGGAGTATAAAATGGTTCTCGAGAAGCCGGTGGTACCCAGAATACTAAGAGCCGACGATTGGGTCCCATTATCCATCCAGCACAAATGTGTGGTCGTCATAGGAGGTGTGCCAAGAATTTGTCCCATTACGGAACGAAACATCGCTAACTATGTTTGCTGAGACTTGGGGTCTGTGTCTGTTCTTTGGTATGATCTGCTTCAAAGTTAAGACATACATATCATACAACAAGTGCCCTCGTTCGACACCATCGCGGGACACGATGTCATTGAAGAACTGAACAGAAGATGAGCCGAGAGGAGGTGCTCCGATGTATTTGCAAGCAAGACGTGCCCACTCGAAAAGATATCAGCTTTCTGGGCGACGGCTGTATACTCTTTGTTCCCAAAATCCGAAAGCCCTTCTAATTTCTCCGATATGTAGGTGCAGATATCGCGTTCAGCCACTTCTAGTGGAATGTCGTCCATGGAAATCCTTCAAATGTGTCGAGCGCCCGCAAACGAATTCTGAATGTCGCAAAGCGGGCGGGAGGTGACTATGATCCGGAAGTTCTTTGGGAGTTTCGTGATATGGGTGATGGTTGGGTCTCGAAGTTTACCGGAAAGAATGCGAAGAAGGTCACTACGTGTCTCCACTGCCTCACCACTTTCGTCCAGTGCGTCGATAACGATCACGACGGGCCCCACGGGTGACTCGGAAAGCTTCCCTAACGGTTCTATAAGAAGCTTCTGCGTGGCACTGCTGTACAACGTCCGGTGTAGTCTTGAGCGCAGTTTGATTCTCGACTCCATGCGCTAACGCTCGTCTCATCTCCGGATGATGGTCAGCCAGGTCTCGTGCGATAGTAGAGAAAACCTTTTTGTGGCGATCCTCCGTGTTTCGGTCGAAGCAGTAACAAGCACCGAGTCCGCCCACCCCGATGAACGAGCTGGCAATCGTGTGAGCAATGGCTGATTTACCCATTACGGCAGGTCCGGATAGCCTTAGCACACGTGGAACATCGTTTCTGCTGTCGTTGATCCACCTCATGATGTCGGAGAGAATGTCTGTGCGTGTCTCTTGCAGGCATCGCTTCCTAGTATCTAGTCCTGCGGCCTCCACATAAGCCATACCACTGAATTCCAGTATTTCGCCTGTAGAAGTATGAATGGGTGTCGAGTCAGAAGAAAACACAATCTTACTTGTATCGCGAATATAGGTGGCTACGTCGTGAGTGACTTGGTCGCAGAAGTTTGCATGAGCACATCCAACACATCATTATACTGCTGTATCGTATCGTTTGTTTCCAAGACGGTATTCTTTCCGAGTCTCTCCCCTATGATAAGAACGAGGATCTGCCAAGTGTAACGACTTGTTGGAGACTCACAAAAGCTTTTCTTCTCTGAATAATCCCTGATGAAATTGGCGCATTCTAGGGTCTGCTGAGAGATCTGTCCCAAGATGTCCCTCATTGACGAAATCTTGAGAAGCGTGTCGTCTTGCGTTATGAAGCCATACACTTGACCCAACTTCTTGTAGAGGTTAAGTACCGCTTCGTCACGATCCGCTTGAGCAAGAATTATCTGCGTGCAGAACAAGTGAGCAGTAAATACGAATAACGGCAAGGAAACCGTACTTTTATTGCGCAAGAAAGCACGCCCAATGCCATCTTTGCATATGGATGCACCTGCAGAACGGTGTTAGTCTAGTTCAAAAGAGGAAGAGAGAACACACCTCTGCTATCGTCCCGATCAGTGTCGAATATCCTGAGGGGTCCCTATGCTGTCGAGCGCTGCTGGTCCCTTTTGCCTACGGGTAATATGGGTCTCGCATATCCACAGCTTTGTTTCATCTGATCTGCACCATGACCGGCATCCTGAAGTGCCTTGTTCACAGATTGGGAATTGGCGCCTTGTTGCACAACAGCAGAAGTATCCTGAGTAAGCCAGTAGAAGTTAGACAGAGAGCAGACATCGAAATGCCACCTACCTTAACGGGGTCGCGGCTGCGTGAATCGTTGAACTTTGAGCCCTTGTGTAAGATATCAACATTATCCCCAGACTGAGTATTGATTGCGACTTACGGAAATCTTTTTGACAACACCATTCTTAACCTTGCCCAGCAAGCGACAGATTTCGCCACGGGGTCGGCCCTAGAGAAAGGACGGATCACACTGAGTTTCAACTTCATGAACCACTTAGGTAACCCAGCGCTCAGCAGTATTTGTTTCGTTGGATGTCTCGATGTCTGGAGGAGGAACTGACCTAGACTCGGGGTTCCCCAATTGAATGGGGTTGTTCATGGTGAATAGTTGAGGTCAATGATCAAAGCAAGACAAGAAGTTGAATGAAGGGTGGGCCTCAAAACAATGTTTGCTGCTATGTTAACTTCAGGCGCTAAGCATTGGGTGGGCCGCCCACGGAACTCCGGGAAACGCAAGGAAGAATGAATTGAAGATTTGTTGATTGAGCTATGGCAGACCACGCGGAGGGCATCACCAAGTCTATATGTCAGCGAATCTTTTCAAGGATTAAATTAACTTACATCAAGAAAACAACGGATCTCTTGTTTGCACTTGGTTAACGTATTGTGCCTTTTGAAATTTGCATGGTGGCTTTCTACTCGGCAAGTGGACCAAAGTTGTTCTTTGAAAAGTGAGATGCATTTTGGAAATGGAGATTCAGGCGGACAAGACAAGAAAGATGCAAAAACAGAAGCCGTTGTGCGCTAAGATCCAATAGATGTAAAAGGCATGATGATCCGTGTACTTATTCACATAGACCCGGAGGGTTTTCCTGATGCTGAACAGCTCACCTTGGTGAACTTCAATATGATATCATAAATAACTACATAGTGATAAACACAGTGCAATCAGATATATCGATTCCTCTTGTGAGTCACCCCTTACTCATCCCTGTCTTGTACTTCATCTGGCAACTGGGATGCTAGCCATCTCAATCCACCGGCCAACACAATCAAGACGAAAAAAACTGCATTTCCTCCTAGAAGGTTGTGCTCCTTCGATACAGCAAAGAGCGAAGTTGCCAAAGTGGGACCAATGACACGAGCTACCGACGCAGAGGTTTGGCCGAGGCCATTGATGGCACCAAGGACATTGTTGGTGGGAGCAGAGGCTGTGATAAACATGAAAATAGCCCCTGCAATTAAGTGAGTTACTTGTAATGACAGATGGTTTCATTACAATACACACCAAATGCCATATTCCATGCGAGTTGCATACCTGTAAGGCAAAGCAAGGCAAACGTGATTGCATGATCGACTTCTCCTCTTGCGCGTACAATCCACGACATTATGGGAAACATAGCCATGAGTGGTACGTAGCACGACACTGAGATATGGAATGCACGCTTCGGACCAATCCAATCGATGATCCTAGCGAAGAATAATGCTTGAAAGATACCACTCGTAATCCCAAACAATGCCAGCCACGAGCCAATAGTAGCAGGATCAAATCCAAGACCGCCAATATGGGTAGGCGTGGAAAGCAACAGTGGTAAAAGAGCACGGAAAGAAATGTCAAGCAAGGCAAGCAGGGCGTAGTTTGCAATCGGAATAACAACGGAAGGCGTGAGCAGAGATTGCAAGGGCGTATATGCCATGGATTGTTGAGGCAGTAATTCATCACTTGAAATACCGAGCGTGGCTGATGTCGATTTTGGTCGACGCTTTGTTGGTAATGTCTGCCGACCATGAGCAACGTGTACGATAAGACAGGTGTGTGAAACATACTTCTTCTAGGAAGATTGACAACATGAAAACGGCTAGGACGAACAAACAGGCTGCCACCGCGCATGGCAAAAAGTATGGAAACTTTTCCCAAAAGGCATTGGCGAATAATACAGGCCAATGATCTTGCGGTCGCGCGAGAGTTCCGCCTATTAAAGGACTGACATGACGATTCATTATTTGCTATCTCCATAATCAATTGCTCCACTTACCCGATAAAACCTCCAATGGACCAGACAATTGGAAACAAGGCAAATGCCTGAGCCATGTTTGTAGAGTCCGTCAACTCTCCCATCATAGTCTTCATAACTCCCACATTGCCATTTAGAAGACCACACAAGCAGCGGCTAGGTAAACCTAGCATATCAGCATTGCACATCTCCTTTAGCTGAAGACACACCTAATGACAAGACTCCAGAATGTTGTTGAGAGGCCGAAGCACAGTATCGAAATGCAAGCACCCGAGAGTCCAATTACCAGCACCGGCTTGCGCCCAATGCGGTCAGACAGCCTACCCCACTTCAGTACCGTCAGTGCTTGTGCAGCAAAAAACAGAGATTCCTGCCAATCACATTCGATGAGCGAACCATTCTTGCAAAAAGCACTTCGTAAGTCATAATCCTGGCACTTACAATGATTCCAGCATAATATCCTACAGCCGCATCGTCACCCCCAGTAATTCCGAGTTCTCTGATCAGCTAAGAAATAAAAACAGTATCAACGATGTACATCGAAAAGAAGTATCGTGATTGCGAAATCATACCTGATTAATGTACGGGAATATAGACGTCGAGGCGATGGGTTCCGCAAGGTGCAGTGATATGAGTATGCCTATCTGAAGTTTTGGAAGGGGCGTTTTAGGTTTTTTTGAGCTCTTGGCAGGTATTAGAGGCGTTGTCTCGATGTCATGAGAATTGGAAGTATCCATCCTGGTCATTTGGATTCTGTGCAGGTTCCGTCGTCCAGTACCGTTCGATACTACTGACGGTCCCTGCCACACTTCATGGATTCCTCATATACTTTCGCATTCTCACCTTGTTTGGTTTGAACGATTGGTAATGAGGCACTAGCGGCGGCTAGTTGAACTCGGATCACGGTTAGCCATAGGCCCACCACTGAAATGAACGCTTACATAACTTGCGCACGTTACGGACCGACTTCACCAGAACTGAGAAACCCCAATGTCAACAGGAACGTTGAGTGGAAACCGGTGATGAGTGACCGGTACCGGTAGTGACCTGTTATACAGTATCATTCTGCCAGAATGCGGTACAATAAATATCTACAGAGTGATAAATACAGATTCTACAATAATGCAATCATTCCTCTTGTAAGTCATCTGTTACTCATCCTTGTCCTGTACTTCATCTCGCAACTGGGATGCCAGCCATCTCAATCCACCACCCAACACAATCAAGACGAAAAAAACTGCATTTCCTCCTAGAAGGTTGTATTCCTTCGACGCAGCAAAGAGTGAAGTCGCCAAGGCAGGACCAACGACACGAGCTACCGACGCAGAGGTTTGGCCGAGGCCATTGATGGCGCCAAGGACATTGTTTGTGGGAGCAGAGGCTGTGATAACCATGAAAATGGCCGCTGCAATTAAGTGAGTTACTTGTAATGACGAGACGGTCTCATTACAACACGCACCATATCCCATATCCCATGCAACTTGTATACCTATAAGGAAAATCAAGGCAAACGTGATTGCATAATCGACTCCCCCCCTTGCGCGTACAATCCACGACATTATCGGAAACATAGCCATGAGTGGTGCGTAGCACGACACTGAGACACAGAATAAACGCTTCGGACCGATGCAATCGACGATCCTAGCGAAGAATAATCCTTGAAAGATACCATTCGTGATCCCAAACAACGCCATCCACGAGCCAATAGTAGCAGGATCAAATCCAAGACCACCAAGATGAGTAGGTGTCGAAAACAACAGCGGCAAAAGAACAATGAAAGAAATATCAAGCAAGGCAAGCAGAGTGTAGTTTGCAAGCGGAATAACAACGGAAGGCGTGAGCAGAGATCGCAAGGGCGTATGTGCCATGTATTGTTGATGCAGTAGTTCATCACTGGAAATACCGAACATGGCCGATGTCGACTTTGGTCGACGCTTTGTTGGTAATGTCTGCCGATCGTGAGCAACGTGTACGATAAGACAGGTGTGTGAAACATACTTCTTCTAAAAAGATTGACATCATAAAAAGGATTAGGACGAACATACAGGCTGCCACCGCGCATGGCAGAAAGTATGGAAACTTTCCCCAAAAGGCGTTGGCGAATAATGCAGGCCAATGATCTTGCGGTCGCGCGAGAGTTCCTCCCATTAAAGGACTGACATGCTGAATTCATTATTTGCTATCTCCATAATCAATTGCTCCGCTTACCCGATAAAGCTTCCAATGCACCAGACCATTGGAAACAAGGCGAATGCCTGAGCCATGTTTGTAGAGTCCGTCAATTCTCCCATCATAGTCTTCATAACCCCTACATTGCCATTTAGAAAACCGCACAAGCAGCGGCTAGGTAAGCCTAGCACATCAGCATCGCACATCTCCTTTAGCTGAAGACATACCTAATGACAAGACTCCAGAATGTCGTTGAGAGGCCGAAGCACAGTATCGAAATGCAAGCACCCGAGAGTCCAATTACCAGCACCGGCTTGCGCCCGATGCGGTCGGACAGCCTACTCCACCTCAGCACCGTCAGTGCCTGCGCGACAAAAAACAGAGATTCCTGCCAATCACATCCGATGAGCGAACCATGCACTTCGTAAGTCATAATCTTAACACCTACAATGATTCCAGCATAATATCCTACAGCCGCGTCATCGCCCCCAGTGATTCCGAGTTCTCTGATCAACTAAGAAAGAAAAACAGTATCAAAGATGTACATCGAAAAGAAGTATCGTGATTGCGAAATCATACCTGATTAATGTACGGGAATATAGATGTCGAAGCGATGGGTTCCGCAAGGAGTAGCGACATAAGTATGCCTATCTGAAGTTTTGGAAAGGGCGTTTTAGGTTTTTTCGAGCTCTTGGTAGGTATCAGAGGCGTTGTCTCGTTTGCCATGATTTCTTGGGAATTGGAAGTATTCATCCTGGTGATCTGGATTCTGTGCAGGTTCCGTCGTTCAGTGCCGTTCGATACTAACCCCCCTGCACTTCATGGATTCCTCATATACTCGGTTTGTTTTGTTTGGACGCTTGGTGATGAGGCTAATCTCACACTAGTCCTCGCCACAGGGACAGTGGTGGCGGCCGGCGGGGGCTAGTTCAACTCGGGTTACGGTTAGTACTCAACAAACTGTCAAGTGATAATTGAACTAACTGGATCTTACCTGTCAACTCGGCGGCTTGCGCTCCAATACATACATAAGCAACCTCTTTGCTCGCTCATATGCGAAAGAAGGTATGAAATCGTCAGTGGAGATTGTCCAGAGTAAAGAGCGGGAGATCGGCTGCAATGTCTTGACTCGCGATCAGTAAATTCCGGTGGGCCAACCGACATACCTATATTTTGTAAGCCGAAATCTTAATCTCTTTCCTATACATGACGTTATGTTAGATATATTACTTTGTATCGTAATGCACAGGAAAGAACACAATGTCCTCACCGGGTGCTGCTGTGACCTGTTACGATTCCGAAGTAAATCGGCTCCCTATCGTGTTGCGATTCGACTGACATTATCTAATAAAGGTTGGACTCCGCAAACTTTGTCGGAGAAAGGCGTCATGTGTTATTTTCACTGCTCTCTTTAGATGGTCTGTGGGAGGTCGGAAAGGGAAGGAGGACGTTGTGGGCGCGAGTGTCAAGATAAGTATCGATATCCAGGACAATACAAAGAAAATACTCAGCTTGTACTTTGTGAGTAAGTTCACTGGGCACGTCAGTCAAATGGTAACAAGACAGAGACCCGATCCATTTCGGAATTGTAACAGGCCGTCACCAGTCTCGCCGGTTCAACCATTTACTGATGTTTTGTCACAGTGCCCTGTGGTTCTCTGACAAGCTCAATTAACTTCAACTCCCACGGTGCTGCCAGCGCTCTCTGATGCCGCTGCTTCGAATTCTGTTCCCAACCCCTCCGCGCGCTTTCGCTAGCAAGATGCTGACGTCACACGACGTAGGATGATACGGTTGTTGCTGGCAGTCATTCGACAAGGAACCGGGGCATGTCGTGGACACGCATATGAACTATGTAATACAGATCATGCAGTGCGCTATAATATTCTGGCACGTCGTCACTGAAGCTTGAAGCGTCACATGACCCTCAACATAACACCTAGACACACCGGATAACTGAATACGTTTCTGTTCATCACGACTGCTGACTGTTATACATTAGAAGCACATACTTGATCGATTACTCCTCTAGTGCCCCAATCAGACCACGGAAGAGCCAAACTGTCATCACCCCTTCTTTCAAAACTCGGCAGTTCTCCAACCGTTTACAAGGTCCGAATAAATGTGGGACCGTGCTGAAATCCTGCAAGGGAAGATAGCAGGATAGCTAAAACAACAAAAGTGTTAGTGACAAGAGGAAAGGAAGTCCGAATCGAGTACCGAACCAGTCCCGTGATGAACGTGGGAGTAAAACTGATCACTTTGCCCTGGTCATCTTTGGCAGAAGAAATATCCAATGCGGCCAACATAGTCACAATGGCAGACCACGCGGAGGCATCAGCAGTATATCGCCCTGAGTAAAGTCTACATGTCAGCGAATCTTTTCTAGGATTAGAATAACTCAAGGAACCTGGACATACACGCCGACCAAAGCCGAATATGTATTGTGCGGGGTCATCATCTGTCAACGCGCCATTAACATCGATAAACCTCTCTGGTATAAAACGAGATGCGTCTGTGTACCGCTTTTCATTCCGTGTAATGCCCCTACAATCGAGTCAGTGTCACGAAAGCTGGGAGGAACATATCGGACCATGTGTTGTACGTGATGATTGCGCCTGATGCATGATATTATAAATGATTCTTGTGTTGATGGGCCAAAAACAACGGACCTTTTGGAATGAAATAGCCATCATATACGTCATCACTCGAGGTAGCGTGTGATACGCCTATGAAATTATCTTCAGCACAGGCCAGATCACTTGGCGGGGAAGAATACCAAGAGGTGAAACGGGCTGCCATCGAAAAGTCTCTCGCACAACTGCATCAATGTAGGGTAGTGATACTCTGTCCTCGAACGTCGGCAGCCGTTCTCTTCCAACCACTGAGTCGATTTCCGCTTGCGCGCGTTTCTGAACGTCTGGGTATAATACCACGGCCAAAACAAAAACCATCAAAATTGCCGAAGTCTGTAACGAGAATGAAGATCGGACACTGCACGATGGAGTTACCCATTTACCGTCTCACATGAAGCTGTGTGATATTGGCATATGTCAAGAGCACAGCGTTGCTCCTGGGGAAGCTTACTTACCCGAAATAGCAGTAGTTGATGCTTTCTTCAAGGCATTCTCGAATGCAGGTTTGGATGCCTCCTCTTGCGTCTCCATCCGTCGCAAATTTTCTGCAACCATTGAAGATTGGGCGAGGAACGAGCTGTAAGTCTTGGTAAGGGTCGAATCAATGCCTGGAACCAAGATAAAAATAGATGACCCACCATGTGCTGCTGCACATATTGAAATGGCAAGTCGGCCATTTCATTGACGCGCTCGGTCGAAGCTCGAGCACTACGCTTGATCGAGGATCCCCAGCACCAGTCAGGTAACCTTAGTACTACATTCCAAAAAAATGCATGTCACATTCACGCTTTCTCATCTAGGAGAGTTGAGCTCACAGAAGGGGAAGGTCTTCAGTATCAACGCTCTCTCTGGGGTTAACACGGCCGAGCCCGGATTCAGTGCATTTACCACAATCTGCACCAAAGGATCATCACGAGCGCCGATATCGTAGCCATATACAGCTGACATCACAACAGATAACGAGAATCTGTGAACAGGTGAATAGTCGTTCAATTTGTAAAGGTTATTTACTGACGTTGCGAAGTGGTCATGATAACGTCGAGGGTCATCAACTAGGTTGACGACTATCTCACGAGCTCGCCTGATCTGCATCGCACGAAATTTTACTGCAGACTCAGGGCGGAAAGTTTGGTGGCAGAGTCGTCGGCAGAGACGCCATTCATCCCCATAACCTATGAATGCAAGGTTGACCGACAAGCCATATCTCGGACTAGTTAAGTAGAAGAATACTGAAAGAACGCACGGCTCGAGTGTGACTAGGTATGGTCGATCGGAGTAAATCCGAGAACGCTTGTCCAATAAGGCTTCTGCAATATGCTCGGAATTGACCACGACCATTTCCTGGCCTAGAATTCGCACGAAGACCAAGTCCCCTGATATAGTGATTTGCAGTACATATTTCTTATACTATCTGTTCACGTACCATACGCAGCACCCCATTTCGTATAAGTCAGCCAAGGCTCTTGAGCGGCACTGGACCAGGAGGAAGAGAAGGGTTATTCTGTTGCTTCTTGATGAACCGCCTAAGTGCCATGATGGCGGCAAGGGAAAGAGAAATACTAGCGAGAATAGCAAGGTGACCATCAACTGCAGAAGCCATGATTCGAGCAGTGCGTTAGCAAACCGTATATAACACAACCGTCCTTGTAATCACGGGGAAGTAGTAAATCGCCGTCGATTATGCAACTCGGTGGTAGTGTCCCCTATCACTATATATTATATATACATTGCTTTTTGCTCAAACCATGTCGACTTATGCAGGTGCAATGGCAGATGCATCTGGCCAGATGGGGTAAGGAAGGATATGATCAAAGAGAAGACATACACAAGATGTGAGAAGGGTGTCAGATTGGGCAAGCGACAAGCACCGGAGTGTCGTGCTTGAACGCGTCAAACAGCTTGGCCATCTTTGCATTCCAGATTTTTGCTGCATCTTCATGGTGTCATCGAGTGAATAGATCACCACCCACGCAACATCTCCAGGGTTGTGCCTCCGGTCTTTACATCCCACATTCCGGAAGGGGTCGTATTATGCGCCGTCCGCCACGCAGGTGGATAACACCTTGTCCGATTGACTCTGGCTCAGTTACTGGTCAGGGAACACATGGTCAACATTCGATGACTGCAGCAGATCTTGACTATGTATGCGAGCGAAGCCCACAAAAATAGTCGAATGAGAGTGTTTGTCTGGCAAGGATTGCGGGTGAGTCTGCATCTTTTTGGATAGTCACAACTTAAGAACTGGTCAAAAAATGCCTATAGAGTCATGTTTTCAACATCAACGCATGACAAATTCAACTTGTTCGACAGTCACGTCACGTCAAAACCAAAACAACACCTTGACCTGAAGCTGCGCCAGTCTCACGCTGAACAGTTCGAGGCCCTTAGTGAAGTTCAATAATATCACTAAATCAAGTGCTTGAAACAAGGTCCCTGCCTACCTTTTTATTTTATTTTATTTATTTCCAACTTTTGTCCTATTGAGAGATTACTCTATGGAGGACAGTTCGGTCTAGTCTAAGGGCCCCCTGGTTGCATCTCTGATCTGCCTACCTTGATATCTAACAACTCATCAACAAATACCTGCAGCGCGATGAACACGAATCCTACGACAGTGCAATCCGATATTGACTCCTTTTGTGAATCACCTGTCAATCATCCCTATCTTGTACCTCATCCGCCAACTGAAGTGCCAGCCATCTTAACCCACCGGATAACACAATCAAGACGAAAAAAACTGCATGTCCTCCTAGAAGGTTGTATTCCTTCGACGCAGCAAAGAGCGAAGTCGCCAAGGCGGGACCAATGGCACGAGCTACCGCCGCAGAGGTTTGGCCGAGGCCATTGATAGCGCCAAGGACATTGTTTGTGGGAGCAGAGGCTGTGATAAACATCAAAATAGCTCCTGCAACGAAGTGAGCTGCTTGCAATGACGAGACGGTTTCATTGCAACACGCACCATATCCCATATCCCATATGACTTCTATACATATGAGGAAAAGCAAGGCAAACGTGATTGTATAATCGACTTCACCCCTTGCACGTAAAATCCACGACATTATCGGAAACATAGCCACGAGTGGTGGGTAGCACCACACTGAAACAGAGAACAGACGCTTTGGACCAATCCAATCGATGATTCTGGCAAAGAAGAATGCCTGAAATACACCAATTGTTATCCCAAACAACGCCATCCACAAGCCAATAGTAGCAGAATTAAATCCAAGACCACCAAGATAAGTAGGTGTCGAGAAGAACAGCGGTAAAAGAACCTTAACAGAAACGTCAAGGAAGGAGAGCATGGCGTAGTTTGCAATCGGAATGACAACGGAATGCGTAAGGAGAGATCTCAAGGGCATGTTTGCCATCGAGCTTTTAACAAGTAATTCTCTGTCGGGGCTACTTGAAACGCTGACCGTAGTCGAAGTGAACTTCGGCCGACGCTTTGTCGATAATGTCTACTGATCGTGAGTGATGTGTGCGATATGGTAGGGATCCAGAACTTACTTCTTCCAAGAAGATTGTCGTCATGACAAGGGCCAGGATGAGCAGGCAGGCTGCCACCCCACAAGGCAAAAAGTATGGGTAATTTCTCCAGAACGAACCGGAGAACAATTCCGGCCAATGATCCTGCGGTCGCGCGAGTGTTCCTCCCATTAATGGACTGACATGTCGAACTCATTATTTACCATCTCCGTCGTCAACGACCTTACTCACCCAACAAAGCTTCCGATGCACCAGACAATCGGGATCAGGGCAAATCCTTCAGCCATATTTGTGGAGTCCGTCAATTCTCCCATCATAGTCTTCATCACTACAACGTCGCCATTCAGAAAACCGCACATGCAACGGCTGGAAAAACCATGTTAGAGATGTATATTTCCTTCGGGTGAAGACATACCTAACAACAAGGCTCCAGAAGTTCGTCGAAAGGCCGAAACATAGCATCGAAATGCATGTTCCTAATAGTCCGATGACTAATACCGGCTTGCGCCCAATGCGGTCAGACAGACGAGCCCACTTCAGCACCGTCAGTGCCTGTCCGACGAAAAACAGAGAGTCCTGCCAATCACATTCGATGAGTGAACCATTCTCACAAGCAATTCGCAAAACGTAATCCTGGCACTTACAATGATTCCGGCATAATATCCTACAGCCGCATCGTCGCCCCCAGTGATTCCAAGTTCTCTGATCAGCTAAGAGAGCAAAACAGTATCAAAGGTGTGCATCGAAGAGAAGCATCGTGATTGCGAAACCATACCTGATTGATGTACGGGAATATAGATGTCGAAGCGATGGGCTCCGCAAGTTGCAGCGTTATAAGTATGCCTATCTGAAGCTTTGGAAGGGGCGTTTTAGGTTTTTTCGAGCCATTGGCAGGTACCAGAGGCGTTGTCTCATTTATCACAATTTCATGAGAATCAGAGGTATCCATTCTGGTGGGTTGATGAAGGGTTAGTGAGAGGGAAGATATCCAGCGAACTCCCTTGATTTAATTATACGAACCTCGTCTGTATTTATAGCCTGCCCATCGTCGATATACTAGTCAGCTATCATATATACGTGTGTAAACGTAGAGTCGATTTGTCAAGTAACATACCTGAGGGTGGAGAAAACCGGTGCGAGTCATCCCGGTTACGAATGAAACGCTGTTAGAGAGGCTAACAGAGCAAGCAATATAGTTTCAAGTCGACTCTCGATAAGCATGGAAAGCACCTCCAGAACTCGTGTTTGGCAAAAGCATGAGTGATAGAAACAAAAAATATGCAAACGATTGAAAAGCGATTCCATACGTTGCACTTGAGACTACCCAGGGGTCAGGGCTAGCGAAGATATTGAAATTCGCAAGCCAAGCAACGGGTGATTTCCATTCTGGAATATTTGTGCCGACTATTTTTATAAGAATCATATCGCGAGGATTGGATGCAATCGTGTCAGGGATGTTTACTGGTCCAAATGTTCAAATGAAGAGAAATGGCATCTGTCCCGCGGGTATCTTGCTTTCTTACACTGTGGAGTTCGATCAGCTAATTGACTTCCAAAAACCGCCTATGCTTACACTGTTTAGCGTGGTGTTACCGTACATCCCGTAGTGTGAGATCCAAGAAAGACGGTCCGATGAGACATGCAGGTGTGGTGGTATTACGAGGAGAAAGCCAAATCTGGGTGCTCGTCTTCACCTGCTGACACGTCAAAACCAATAAGTACCATCTTGCAATGACTGCAAAAATACAAATACGAGAAGAAATCACGCTTATGCCAGATTCCAGACTCAGTGCTACGAGTCCATTACGGAATAGCAAGGCCATCCTGGACAGCTTTACGCGCATTAATACGACCAAGCCACATCTAAACCGATCAAACTTTAGAAGCAAGACACAAAACAAAACACGTTCGAACGCCCACCTCGAGGCTCGGCCACTCATCAAGAGATTCGATACCCGCGAATTGATGAACATTGATCCTGAATACAATAGAACCAGAGTGAGAACATCAAAAAGATGTCTTCGCAGGGGAAACCGAACAAAGATGAGACCAACCATGGGAAAACGTTGATATCTGCAGCGCTATAGACGCCCCGGCCGGGCCCAGCGAGATAATCACGGTCTGTGAGGCGGATCTCCATCACGCCATAGAGGCGCTTCGTTTCCAGGATATAGCCTGATGTCGTCATCGTTAGGCACATATGAGACACTAATCAAAAGAAACAACTCGCGCTTCTTTGCATAGGGAATGTCCTCGGGCGCAAACCTATTGGAATGATTCGCTGCACTGCGTCAACTCAAAACTTCAATACCAAGTTCGAATTTACAGACCTTGGCCTTGCATGGGACCAACGCCTCCATGCTGCAACCACCGTGTCATCAGTACTAAATACCACCAGACGCCACGGAGTACTCACCGCCCACAACATCCACTGAAGCATCTCGCTGTACTCATTCGGCTGCGACACAGGGTCAAACCCAAGCTTCCTCTCCGGATCATAATGCTGTTCGAGATACAGCAAAATAGCAGCTGTCTCAAACACGACGAAATCTTCCCGCGCGTGGTCGACGAGCACTGGGATTCGCCCGTTTGGGTTTAACTTGATGAACCAGGGCTCTTTTTGGCCGTTGCGTGAGGTGTTTATTTTCTGGACGCTGTCAGAGTCAAAATTCGGGATATCGTCTCAGGAGAAGAGGGGGCACTCACTCATAATCGACCTTTTCTCTTCGAGAAAAACACTAACTTTAGGTCCGTTTGGAGTTCCAGCGGTGTATAGAACAAAAGGCTTGGGCTTAGACGTATGTACACTGTACAGTAGACATATTACGAGGAGTAGGTGATAGTGACCTTGCTACGGAGCTGAGACGGTTAAAGGCGACTTGCATGGCTTTCTAGGGGTATGGACTGACGCCATGTTCGAGTATGGATGACTCCCTGATCCGTATGACCGACGGGTGTTGTTGCTGACATTGTCGGATACAAGTTCCCAGGGTTTTAAGGCCTTGCAAGACATTTTAATGCTCTATTTGGAGGGTGTCCCCATAAGGGCTTTTAACCCATAGAGAAACAAATACGCCAAAACTCGACTGAACTATTGTACAAACACTGAAAGGTGGGAGGGTAGGGAGGGTGCGCAAAATTACTAGTGATACAATTAATTTGAGTGAGAAAGGACCTAAGACTAGAAATAATTGGCATACCTAGTGGGACAAATAATTCAAGTGAGAAGAGGTGAGGACCTCCAAATTCACTAAGTCCCACTAGACATAGGCCAAGAACTCCACTAAAGGAGGTGGCATTGAGGATTGCGAGAGACATATTAGAGTCTGGACAGCTGTGTTTATTTCGCAGTTTATTCCTGTAGGTGGCGTGGTAACAAGTAACAAGCTGTGACTCACATGTGACTTGATCAGCGTCCACACCACCCCTTGCCAATGGCGAAACGGAAGAGTACTAGTACAGCGCCTGTCAACAACACTGCAAGTGTAGGCTCAGCCACTCACTGGACCGACGAAGCAACCTCCCGGCTCATTCAATATCTCACACTTCATCGTGCCGAAGGTGGAGATGGTATCAACTTCAAACAGGCAACCTTTGCCGCTGCAGCGGCTCATTTGTTGGAGCCACCAGACGGCACTCCAAAGGAGAACTACATAGTGGGAAACAAAAGGGACTGGCAGTCATGCAAGAACAAATGGATTATGGTACGTAGTATGTTGTTATTTCACAGTTAATCAAGTCCTGACTGCTACAGTGCAAGAAAAAGCATGCCGCTATTGTTGAAATCAAGTCGCAATCAGGCTTTTCGTGGGACGAGGAACTTGGCGCAAATATTGGCCTAGCTGATGCCGCATGTTGGACAACATTCACAAATGTAGGCTTTCATGATGTGGATCTGTTGCAAGTCTGACCGTTTTTCAAGGCACATCCTGGTGCAAAGCCGTTTCACAACAAAGGCTGGAAGCACTTTGACGAGATGGATGACCTTTTGCGTGCGCAGATCTCACGTGGCACCAATGCTTTTCATGCAGGCCAGGAAACCTTCGAATCGCAACACACTCCTAGCAACATCAGCAATGAAGGCCCTGCTGTCGAGCACGAGCCAGTGGCATCCACAACAGGAGACTCAGGAGTTGAAGAAGATGACGAGAGAACAATTGCAGAGGGAGAGCTAGATGACGATGAAGATGATATCATTCCTTGGGAAGCAACTCCTCCTCCTTCGAAGCGAAAATCTGCACCTGTGGCTTTGACTCCGTCTCTTACTGCTTCCTCATCTTGTCCCTCTGGTCCATCTTCGAAACGCCAGCGCATTGGTGGATCAGCCACCGCACTATATGCAATAAATGATCCATTTTCTGAGTTCACCGATGTCTTCCGTGTAGCCTCACAATCGCAAAAATCAGCTATTGCCTTATCACCTCAACGCAAGCAGGCAGCAATGCGACGCGCACAACTTCTAGAAACACATCTTGATGATGATAGCATGGCTGCACTTATCGAAGCTTTTCAGATGGATGTCAGCACTGCTGACGCATATATGGTGATGTCCGACGATGGGCCAAGGAAGTCTTTTGTTGTCCGCAAGATCAAATTTATCAACAAGCAGGGTCTCTAGATAGTATATATATTGTCGCGCACTCATCTTGTCATGTCTTGACGAGCTCTATGGTAATCCCTCCACATAGTATCTGCAATACTATCTCTGTCCTCCGTCGCCTTTTGCCTTTCAGCACGGCCTGCTGGTCCTTCAGCAAGATCACCCCTCGACTCGCCTGCATCAGCATCAATGAGATCCTCAGTAGCGAATTCCTCTATTTCCTTTGGATCGAAACTTCGAATGAAGTTGTGGACAGCACAAAGTGCCGGGGGAATTCGGGCTTGAGTCGACATACTATATTCTGGTGGATGTACGAGTATCACGAACCACTTCTTGAGAATGCCGAAAATCCGCTCAATCACATTTCGAGCTTGAGCATGCCTGTTAAGACCATGCACAAAGGGTAGGACTGATTCCAAGGGGCTTGGCTTCAGCTCGTGCGCTGCGCCCCTTACCCGAGTATGTGCCCTTAACTTCAGAATGAAGTCCGGAGAAAGTCCAGTGAAGTCCGAAGGACTTCCGGAGAAGCGTGGGAAACTTCGGAAGGACTTTCCGGACGAGTGCGAGAAACTTCCGGATGAGTGCGGGAAAGTTCCGGAGGAACTTCCGGAAATTACGATGGAGTTTCGTCCTGACGGGGATATGTGTAATGGCTACTCAGGACAAGTCCTGAGTAGAAGGAAACAGAGGAAAGGCTGCAAGGACAAAGTCCGAAGCAGAATAGGTCCGGAGGACCGCGGGAAAGTTCCGGAGGAACTTCCGGAAACTCGGAGGAATGGAGGATCGGATGAGTGGATGAGTGGAGGAGCGGAGGAGCGGAGGAGCGGAGCTCCGGCCTAGGGAATTTCCCCCTAGGCCTGAGATGGATAATGACTAAGTCGGAGGACTAGAACTGTTATGAGGACTTAGGGTGAAGGCTAGTGCGAGGACTAATATGTGTATGATATTCAGACTGAGGAAATACAGGAGTATCTACTGGGGTTTATATACTAGAGGCAAGTCTGTGCAGATCAGTAAGCAGAGGGGTAAGGCTATGTACGAGCATGTGGAAATGTATTAGAAAATAAGACGGATCATAGGAAATGAACTCGGAGACAAAATGAGGTACGGAAAATGAGGAAGTCTAACTCAAGAAGGAACATACAAAGGGATAAGGCACGGAAGATAGACGCGGGTCGGATCCGGATGTCCGGAGATGAATGCGTGATAGGTCTGGGTCCGGAACGCAAGGAAGATAGACGTGGGTCGGATCCGGATGTTCGGAAGTCCGGAGACAGGTGATTACCATAAGGGGATGGGCGCTGATTTAAGGTTTGGGTTCGGACATGACAGATAGGTCGGATCCGGAGATCCGGAGATGTGGATATCAGATCTGGCATCCGGATATCAGATGCAGGAGTACAGGGATCCGGACGGATAGAGGATTGGGTCTGGAGACATGGACAGGAGGTCCGGAGGTCCGGATGAGGCGTGGGAACATCGTCAGATGTTGGTCCGGAATGCGGGATATGACAATGCGAAAGGTTGTATATTTCTTTGGAGTTTTGTGGCCTGCCTTGCATGAGAAGATTGATGAGTCAAGTGACATATTGCTCACCGAACTGCAGCTCGACCCCACTCAGCCAAGTGGTACCGGACACTTCGATACGGAATGAGAAGTGAATTGCATATTCCAAACCCAGCATCTGCAAGGTAGTATCTCCCTTGTGGAATGTACAGGTCAGTGAGACGGGCATTATTGTAGAGAGTCGAGTCTGAGGTTGATCCATCCAAACCACTGAGAACATACTGGAACCGAAGATCAAATGAACAGCATGCAAGACAATTTTGGCTGACAAAACCCTTTCGGTTTCGTGAAAGCTGTCTTTCTGCCACGGATGGACAACATGCAATGTGTGTACCATCCATGGCCCCAAGTGCCCCTTCGAAGTATGGAAAGAGTTTCGAATTCCCTGATATTTCTGCTGGAATAGGTGCATCGTCCCATGGAAGACATACAAATTTGTGGTAGAAGGGAGCTGAAGACAGAGCAAGCAGGACTCTCTTGAAATATCTGATGACATGTGAGATAATGAATATCTTGCAATATGAACATACTTCTGTGTGGTCGTGTGTGAGTGCTGAAAACGTTCTGCAACATGATGGCTTGAAAGCCCTGTCACACATGTATATAGAAATATGGAAACTTGCTCGTCAAGCAGAATATATTTTGAATCTCATAGCCCACAAGTCCGAAGCTCATGTACAAGGGCATGGAAAACGTGCTTCCTCATTCCGAGCTCAGTCTTGATCCGGTCAGGATGTCCATTGGTGAGTTCTTGCACCCATGCATGTCCAGTGAGGAGTGAGGTATGGTAGGGCTGTTTCTCAAGAAATGGTGTCATATAGGCAATTATAAGACCCATAACAAGTTGAGCAATCATTGCAGCAGCCATCCGCAGCATGTGGAAATGCTGGATTTCATTAGCTGGAGGCATTTCAGCCTTGGTGTGATGTCATATGGTGTGTGATGCGGCGACCTTGTCACGGTTGTTTGTACATATTGTTACAAACAAAATAAACTACGAAACAAACTGCGAAATAAACGCAGCTGTTCAGACCCTTAGTCATGAATGATGCACAGGGCATCTGCCACAGGTGGTGAAGGGTCAGACCCTTTGACAAAGAATTTTTGGGAAGACCCGAAAGGCAGAGCTGCTGATGAGCTCACTTGTCCAATAACCCTGGTATAAATAAAGTTAAACTCAACTAATTGTCCTTGCTCAAGTCTCGTGGATATGTAGACGATGAGGATTTAGCCAGCAAATTCGAGGATCCCAATGTGAGAACATGGGATCCTCATGGATTTTGGGAAGCAAACAAGCCCATACAGAAACAAATACACCAAAACTTGACTGAACTATCATACAAACACTATAACTCCAGCTAATAGTGAGGAGGGAGGGAGGGCAAAGTGAGATGAATGCTGGAGTGTGATGAAAGAAAAGGATAACAGGTTAAATATGACCAAACAGAACAGGAGCATCGTGAATTGATTGTCCATGAAATAAAAGAGCATGCAACAAAGCAGGATTTTTGTATACATATATATGAAATGAGTCACTTGTCCAGTGACCCATGGCCTGAATACTATCTGCTGCAACACCAGCAGCTGCTAATGAAGTAGCACCACCTGCATGCAAAGAATGCCCCAATATAGAATCAGGGTACAGTGCGCGCAAGTGAGCGATGAACCATGCATGTGTTGGAATAGATCTGTTACTGTGCAACCAGAGGAAGCTGTTGAAGGGAAACAGATGGTCGCAAGATGCAAGGTAGGATAGGAAAGCATGATGCGGATCCACAGTTTCAGTGCATTGGATAATGATAGTGTTGCCTTTGAACTGAACATCCATTTTGTGACATTGTAGTACAAACAAATGATGTCCTTCGGCTAAGTTGACAGATGTTCGTAGGGTGACTTTAGAATGGAATTGTATAGATGAATTATCCAGCCATATGAGTTCTCCAAGTCGTAAGAGGCTGTAAAATCCATCAAGCAGTTGTGCAACAAACAATAGGTCATTGTGATGTGGTGGAGTAGGGAGTGCCAACAAGGCAGTCTCCAGGTCCAAGCGTGAGAGAGGAAGTTTTTGTCGAACAGGTACACTGAACCGACATTTTGCTCCCTGTAAAGTATGAGCAATGAGGCGAGCTTGGCGATTATGACAAACTTCTGGATAATATTCCTCAAGGAGACTACATATTCCTGATAGATAGTTGTTGACAGATCAAGGATTGATATGAGCCAACATGAAGGTCATGCAGAGTGACAGTGTGTCAACCAAAGGTTCCATAGATAGATGATGCAGGTCACAAAAAGTGATATAAGAGTTTAGTGCTGACAAGTACAATTGATTGGTTGAACGATCTAACACAAGTCCTAGATTCACAGAATGTTCATATATGAGATGTTCCATTGGCTGCCTGGCCATGGTTGAGGATTGGATTATTTTTTGGCCGACCCCAGCGCATACTATGGGGGTTGAAAAGGAAGTACTTGCAAACCCAGCACAACTTTACAAGCATTGTCTGCTCTCCATTGTGAAAGATGATCCATGACCTCATTATGGTCACCCGACACATGAAAGACTTGAAAGCCCACTTGAAAGGTGAGAATCATTTCAGCAACATTCATCAGAAGATGATTATAACCTGGTCCCCCTGACAATGAGTTAAAGAGATAGACTGAGTTTAAGCTGTCTGTGAAAATGGCCAGTCGTCTATGTTGTGGTAAATGAGTGACAGTGTCATGAATTGTGGAGACAATACAGAGAGCTTCATGAAAGAAGATGTTTTCAACAGGAGAGCATGAAGGGAGGTTGGACCAAAAACCTAGATTGAGAGATGGATACCAGAATCCCATGCCGGATCCTGAAGCATCACAGAAGACTTGAAGAATGTCGGAAGACAGAGGAGAATATTTCCACGAGTTGGACTTCAATAAGAAAACTCTGGCCGATCGTTCTAAATGAAAAGCTGCCCAGAGTAGTTCTTCAACCATGTTTTGGTTGAGCCATAGCATGCCCTTTGAGTTGAATTTCCCCCTAATCTTGGCATAGACAGCTGATAACCTAGGTCGTAAAAGTGGACAGACATTCAACACCCAGTGTAATGATCCTGCGATATGCTCAAAGTCCTGAAGTGATCTCCTTCTTTTATACTTCACAAAATATCTTAGCTCTCAAACTAACCCCTTCTTGGACTCCTCTTTGAGAGAAATCTTCATTTGATTCAGATCGACCTTGAAACCAATGACAGGGAGGGGAGAACCAAAAACTTGCTTGCGCTCCTCATGAGAAATTCCTAGCTCGTCCCACAACAGAAGTAAGGATACCATGTCAGAGGGTAGCATTTTGTGATACTTGACATAGTAAGATAGACGTCCAACTTTGGTGAAAGAGAAAGAGTCATCGACATAGATAAATGCTTGGATAAGACGCACAAAAACAGCAATCCAGATGACTAGCAACATGAAGGCATGGAATATGTGCTGAGAAGCACGTCCTCCAAAGATATTGGCTCTATTGACTTGTCATTCCCCATCAAAGGATACAACTTGCTTGATTTGCCAGAGAGGATGCATGGGCATATGGTGATATGCCTCTGATACATCAGCCTTCCAGATAAGTAAGTCATCATCAGGATGATAGTGTTGGTATTCTCATAAAGTGCCTCCAAGATCTTGGACATTGTCCAAAGTAACTCCAGCTATATCCTCTTTTGCAATCATTGAATTGAGGGAGAAGTCTCCTATACTATGGTTAGTTACAAGTTGGAACTTTCCACCTTCTTTCGGTACTGCGTGAATCGGCATACTATACATGCCAGGAAGTAAGGTGTTTCCAAAGTTCCAAGAGTAATGTCTCACAGATTCTTCTTTGAGAATTTGGCTTCACAAAAAGTTACATTCAGATTCAGAAGATGAAGTTGGAGATGGGATATCCCAGGTGGTAGGGTACTCCCCAAAATGAGTATCAGCCCAAGGCCAGAAACCTTCACATAGTCCTTGACAGACAGAATGGATGAAAGGAAGGTTAGGATGATCAGCAAGAGTGAGGATGGTTTCAAACTGATCAACATTGACTGGAGTTGAAACGACGAAGAGGTCAGGATTATTAGTGATAGTGGATAGAGCAGGTCGATTCTGAAACTCTGAAAGTGGAGGATGTAGTAAGGGATCAGCCGTCTCAGTCCATAGAGCTGTCCCACTAAGAGTCTCAGCTCCTTCACCCCAGATCATTCTTCTTCAAAAATGTTGTCCCTGAGCTATGGATTCATTTAGAACCCTTTACCAAGGGGCAGTCTGACTATTTGTGACCTCCTTGGCACTTGCTACAGACATGAAATTGTGCACATTCATTAGTGGCTTTGTCACACGCACCACAGTTCCAGTTGTGATAAGATTCTCCCTATCCAAATGAATCCAAACATGTCGGTTTATTTCCTCCTCCAACCCTCTTTCCAGATCCCTTTTCCCCTGAGGACATTGACATAGATAAGTGCTGGGCTTTGGAGAAGGTGACCATGCCAAAGGAGGATAGATGTGAGACTTCAAGTTGTCAGAACTCTCTGATACTGTCAAACCGCAAATATTTTTGTCCTTCAACCTTAAGACAGCATGCTCTATCAAAGTCAAGAATTTGGGAGTGCAGGTTGTAGTGGACATCAACAAAGAATCCAGAGACATATCTCTTATATCCTCATAACTCCGACTCTTTCCAAGGCATGATGAATGTAAGCACTTCAGTCCAGAGGTCCGTAGCAATACTCCAGTCTCCGTAAGTTTTGACTTTATGGGTAGTGGTAGGTTGGGATAAGGTGATTTCAAACCCTTTACCAAGGGGTTGAGATTGTTTGGGATCAATGGTGGTGGAATAGTGACCTGAGAGGACCTTCTCAAGATTGGGGGCTCTCCCTTTGAGTAAGAGGGTCCACTGAGATAAGGGGAAACTAGGACATCTTGGCATAGCAGTAACTTGCCCTTGATAGAATTTGGAGTCATCAGACCATTCTTCATAACATTTGAGGGTAAGTTTTTCGGCTTGTTTTCTGGATACATGATGGAACCGTTTAGGTTGGAGCCAGGGATAGAATTGAATTTGGTCTGATGTGAGTTTCCACCTTTTTCCTCGAAGGATGTACTCATGGTCTTCACTGGACTCACTATTTTCCTCTTCTTCTGAATGGATTCACCTTTACAATCTAGTTCTGAGTTGTTTCTCTTTATCACTCATTTCATCTGCCTCTGCTTGTCCAGGTTCCTCCTCTGGACTTTGTTCGTCGACAGTGCCACCTCAGGGAGGAGCAGGCAAGTCTTCAGTTTTCCAAGCATGATCAAGGAGTTCGACGAAGTGATTGAACCCTGGCCTGAAGTCAAACTGAGCGAGGATTTGTGATTAACTAATAGTGTCTTGTAAGACGGCTTGGATTTACAAAAGGGCATCTCCCTTTTGAAGGAGTGCCTTCTGAAAGTCTTCGACAAACTTGCGACATTTGTCGATAGCAAATTGGTTGAACATTTGAGGATTCTCTGAAGAGGGGTGCAAGGATAACATTTGAGTTGGACCATTGCTATTTTCTGACATGAGAATGGAATTCAATGAATAGATATATGTGCAAAATTGCTAGTGATACAATTAATTTGAGTGAAAAAGGACCTAAGACTAGAAACAATTGGCATACCTAGTGGGACAAATAATTCAAGTGAGAAGAGGTGAGGACCTCCAAATTCACTAAGTCCCACTAGACATAGGCCAAGAACTCCGCTAAAGGAGGTGGCAATGAGGATTGCGAGAGACATATTAGTTATGAATGATGCACGGGGCATCTGCCATCAGTGGTGAAGGGTCAGGCCCTTTGACAAAGAATTTTCGGGAAGACCCAAAAGGCAGAGCTGCTGATGAGCTTGCTTGTCCAACTACCCTGGTATAAATAAAGTTAAACTCAATTAAAGGAGTAAGATAATATTTTAATGCACATTAAAAGGCACTTATAAGGGCCCTTTTGATGACCTTACATTGAGTTTTGCCTTGTCATGCCTCAGAACGGCCCATTAAAATACCTTGTAAGGCCCTCTTAAGGTGCTGAGCCGAACTTGTAATCCAGCAGTATTACAATGGTACCAAACTTTTTTCTGACAATATATCTGCTGAAATGTATGGTTCAACCACATCAGTCACATCAGCAAATCTACACTTCACTTAACCGATGTAATGAGACAACAATTGCTGGACACTACATGAAGTAAGTAACCAGCAATATAAAATGTTGTGGTCTGCATGGCCTAGTCTGCTAGACTTGCAAGACAAGTGCGTTTGACCCGAGGGGTTCGCTATAAGGTATTAGAATAATCAGTTATATGAAAAGGAAGATAGTCCAAAGCATAGGAAACGAAGTCCAAAGGTATAATTATGAGTCCGAAGGTAAAAAAACATCGGGTCTGATGTTTTCAGGTTTCATTGGATTACATTGGATTAGCGTTGGATTTGTGTTGAGAATGTAATGAATGTCAGAGATAGTTAATGGCGGGTTACTGTCAGTGTTTTCGAAGTGTTTCAGATAAAGAAAGGATAATATTTGCGGAATTCAATGAAGAACTACGAATATCTAATGACCTCCTCCTACTCAGAGGTAGAAAGGTAAATAAGTAAGTAGGAGGCATGCAAAATATATAGTGTCTATGTAGAATTTCGGAGCGCTATAGGCAAAAGTAGTAGCAGTAATTTTCGGGTCCGATGTCCTATGTAATAAGACATGTGGTTCTGTGGACATGTAATAACATGGTCTACAGTGTTAGTGATGTGAAAACTGATAACTGCGCACCTAGTGGGGATAGATATGACAGGACAGAACATTGGGAGGACAAGTGCGCAGGAAAATATCAGGTCTGATGCATGGGAAACATTGGGTCCGTCAGATTAGTGGATAAGTGTCAGATAACATCAGGAAGTGATTCATGTGCAATGTGCATTGGAAAATAGCTGCATACAAGCCTAGCACAAGCTCAAGTGCTACACCGAGCTTGAAAATGTAAAAATTGCATTAAGTCAGCTAAGACCACATCAAGTTACATCATTTTTACTTGACACTACTTAGGCATCTGACTGAGAAAAAAATGCAAGTAGTTTAAGTCACAAGTAATTGTGAGATTGATGTATCATTTACTCATACTATAGTGAAACTCACCTATACTTCCCATATTTCCTTCTTAGTAGAGAGGCCAAACAGGACATATATGTCCCCTTTAGTAAGCTAGAATCTTGTTTGCACTGAGCACCAGCAGTTGATACCAGCCAAAAACCATGACTTTACTGCTCAGGCTATTTACTATTCTTGCATGCTATATTTGTTTATTGTTTGTTGGTGCTAATCAGCATTCCCACGCTCCTGTTTCACCTGCCCTCACTATCCATGACAGTGAGCTCAACAGCTCCTTTGATAGTTGTCACTTCTACATATTTTTGTGCATTGCTCACTGCATACCCTGTAGCCCATCACAGTGCTCTGTCTATCCTCTGGTCTATCCTATCTGCTGTCGTTATTTGAACACCCTCTGTGACACTTAGACTCTGTTATTTCCTGTCTGTTATCCTCATTCTTTCTGTCAGTTGTCTTCCTAACATATTTCTAACAATTCTACAGTGCCAGGAGCCCATTAATCATCAGTAACATCCCTTTGATCACTCTGTGTATTAGTATTCATTTGGGTTGGTGAACTGGCAGCACCTGTACTTCCCTTCTAGTCGCCACAAACACCTCCAACTACATCTCATGCATCAGGAAAAAACAAATATTGGTGTAGTCCCAGTGACGGCTACATAGTGCTACATAGTCACTGTAATGATCTGTAGTGATCTGTAGCTGAAGCTGGGGCCATATAGAGCTACAGGAGGCACTTGTAGTCACTGTAGTCAAAATTTGCACACTGTAATTTTACTTCCTCGTATCATTACTATTGTAGTGCTGCCTCCCTGACTCCACCTTACCAATCATGTCACATGCTAATCAATGTTGTTGAGTTTGAGTCTTAGTGGACTGTTTATTACTCCTACACAATGGGTGCCATCTATTCAGGTGCAAGTAGAATAGGCCAACCCTGGCCTGACGAAAGCATCTGTCTGGACAACAACTGTTGCATCAGTGAGCAAAAAAAAATTGAACTATCTCACTCAGGCTGAGCACTTGTGAAGTACTTGTCTAAGCACACCTCAGCCTCATTAGATTCAACCATGAAGTACTGTCACCTTGAAGTCCAGACATGCAACAAAAATAAGGATTATGCACATGCTGCTCATATTCCTGACCAACAGCGCGCCACACAGCAATCCAATTCATCCCAATCAAAACATCACAATCAAGACTGCATGCAACCTTGAACTCAATGTTAGTCAAGGGAATTCCAAGTAATCATAGTGGACATACAAAAAGTCTCGAGGCCAATGAATGTATTCAAGTAAAATTCACTCGCCAACTCATACATGTTCATGCTCGTCCACGTAGGATTGACTGATTGACCCATCTTTGGTATTAGGTGACATGGATGAATAATTTTGTCAACATGTATTACAGCCCCATTCCAATGCAAGTGATGAGTTGAATGTGAGACTTGACACAGACCAGTTGTCTGGTCTGCCTCCCTGAATGGCGTGAACCATTCAATGTGTTACAATCATGCTTCGTCTCTCTATTTCTTTCTTTGATTGCCTTCCTTATCTGTACTACGAATACTTCTCACGATTAGCTTGGTCCGTGCACACATATTGACCTATTTAAGCACATGTATTACCACTAGTGTCTTTACTTGAATCTTACTAGGTTTTACCCGAACTATCTCTCGCTTAAACCCCCCAAGTTTAAGTCATCTGATACTTGATTCTTAGTCGAAGCACTCCTTCATCTAAGCCTATAAAGAACCCTCTCTTTTCTGAGAGACTACGAATCTCAACGATCGAAACTCTGTTGAGTTGTTGTTGTTAAGAACTATCCTAGTTCGTAACAAAAGATTCAAGTCGAAAGACACCACCCATCTGTGTGTGTCAAAGAAACAACAGAACAAAAGAAAAGACCTGGCTGAGCAAGACAGCTAGTGCAGGCAAAGACAAACTGACATCACTCACTCCAAAACTCCAAGCTCTGAATCTCGGTGTAGAAACAACTATACCGAGAGGAACAAATGAGGCTCCTGGCTGTATCTGTAAATGTTGTGAGGTCGCGCGTTGCCTAGTCTGCTATACTTGAGAAGACAAGTGCATTCGACCCTAAAGGGGAAGCAAGTGCAGCAAGGATCTAGTAGTGCGCGCTGAAGGCGCTACTGGTTGGTTGATGTGAAGCGTGAGAAAGCACGCAGGTGTGCGCGAGGCGCAGGAATGCGTGCGCGTGTATGCGGAAACGAGTGAGTGTAAGAGTGAGTTTGCTTAAGTGATGATATGATAGTAGACAAGAGATGTGAGCACGAGGTGTCAAAGAATAGATTTCAACTATATTCTGCTAGGTAGTAAGTGGGTAAGTGGGAGGTAAAGTGGAAAGTTGAAAAGTAATGCTGGCGCTTATATGGTGCCTAAGCGCTGTCATGCGGAGCCGAATTGCTACCGAGTAAGGTATGTAAAGATATATGTATGTAAGTAAGGGTCCATGATATAAATAAAGGTGGAATGATATGCAAATAAGGGAAATGGAAATACACGCAATAGAGAGCTTGGTGGACAGTGGATGGATGCTTCTGGAAGGCTGGCGCTACAGGGCGCTCAAGCGCGGGAAAGCGCGCGCGCGTATACATCGTAAAGTGCGGGAAGTCGTGCGCGCATGTTGCGCGTTGCACGGGAAAGCTGCGCCTCGTATAGGAATAGCTGTGGATAGCACACAGAGTGATGCTACAAGTTCGTGCTGTGTACTCCCTAGTGAATACTGCCATATCACACCATGAGAGGCATGAGTCTCTACATCGGTACTCTCGTACCTCCGCTCAACATGTCCAATACCGCAGGGACCAAAGAGTTCGAATACAAAATCAATCACCTGCCCATTTTCAATGGAGACAGAGAACTCTCCAGATCGTTCCTTCTCTCCTGTAACACTTACATGGACATCAATGATAAACTCTATAAAGAGGACAAACAACGAATTATCTTTATCACCTCCTTCATGAATGAAGGAAAACACCAGACTATGGAAAGAAGAGTTCCTTGAAGACACTCAATTCATTGACTCAACTGGACAGAAGAAAGGATATGGAACGATGAAGGACTTCCTGGAATCTTTCAAGAAAGCCTTCTCCTCTATCGATCCTTCTGGAACAGTGATGGCAAAGATCGGAAATCTGAAACAAGGAAATGGAGATCTGCAAACCTATATTGCCGACTACCAAAGGCTTGTCGCCCAAGCAAAGATCAAGGAAGAATCCGCCAAGATCTTTCACTTCCAAGCAGGACTTAATCCGGGAATATTGATAAAGCTGTTTAACGCAGGAAATGTTCCAAAGACCTTTGATGACTACGTTGAAGCAGTAGTGGACATCGATAACTGCTACATGCAGTTACAGTCCATTAGGTCCCACATGCCCATGCAACAGAAGAAAAGAAGATTTGGGGATCAAAGATACATCCCTGCTAGGGATCGGGATGCCATGGTGGTAGACCGACTCGTAGAAGCTGATCGCCAGGAACACATGCATACAGGAAAATGTTTCACCTGTCATCAAACCGGGCATCGTGCCCGCGAATGTCCTCAAAGAAAGAAGGGACCCCCATTCATACGGAAGCTAGAAGAAGAAGAAGAAACTAGGCGCATCCAAGAGGATTTTTAAACCAGAGAACTAAGTCGACTGTAGCATCTCCAGAAGAACCTGTACGTCTTATACGAGCTATTGGTGAAACGAAAGGACTACGCGTTCCTATCTCTCTCATTTCTCGAACACATCAGAAAAATGTCAAAACCAGCACAGTAATAGATTCCAGAGCATCCGGAACCTATATTTCAGAAAGCTTTGTAAAAAAGCATGACATCAAGTCTCGAAGGTTGGAAAAACCTTTCCATGTCCGAACTGTGGATGGGAGCTATTTTTGCAGTGGACCTGTAGAACGGTACTGCACCCTCTTCATCAAAATCAACAAATGAACCATGATAGGGAAATTCAATATCACTAAACTAGGACCAAAAGACCAGATTCTCCTAGGAATTCCCTGGCTCAGAGCCATGAACCCCTCTATCAATTGGACTGAACAAACTCTCTCCCTTCTGAAAACCCCAAAATCTATTGAAATTGAAGAAAGTATTGAAACAAGCCGAAACCCACTCCCGAAATGGACATGGGTTAATTCTAAAATCAGAAAAGAACCATCAAAATTCTCCGCCTCGATAGAAGAAGTCCCTGAAGATATCCCTGCCTCGCTACCTACGGAAAACAATGAATGCTTCAATACCAAAGAAGACGTTTGGATTGCCCCTCCCATACATGAAGTATCCACCTATGAACTCGACAATGGAGAATTCCTGGTGGAGTATGACTTTAATGGAGAATTCATGAGAGTAATAGAAGAGATATCTCTTGACACTCCTCTTACCTGGGACGGGACATCTTCATCCGAACAAAGGACGACTTCCACTTTCCCCAAATTTAGCAATAAGGCACAAGAATTCGCTAAAGAAGAAAAGGAAAAACAAAAGAAATCATTCAAAGAACTAGTGCCTGCTTATCTTCATGATTATGCGGATGTATTTGCCAAAGATGGACTAAACCAACTTCCCCCGGAAAGACCAGGAATAGATCATTGCATTGAGACAAAACCCAGTTTCCTCCCTAGAACGTCGAAAGTATACCCTTTATCTCCAAAAGAACGACTTGCCGTCAAAAAATTCATCGACGAAAACCTTGCCAAGGGATTTATCACGAAATCAAAATCTCCACAAGCGAGCGGTTTCTTCTTTGTAGGAAAGAAAAGTGGAGAACTACGACCCTGTCAAGATTACCAGCTCCTTAATGATCAAACAATAAAGAACTCCTATCCCCTTCCACTTCCAGCATCCCTTATCAAACGATTACATGGCACAAACTTCTTTACGAAAATGGACATCAGGTCTGGGTATAACAATATCCGGATCCACCCTGATGATAGATGGAAAGCGGTGTTCACCACAGAACATGGCCTCTTTGAACCAATGGTTATGTTCTTCGGGCTATGCAATTCCCCAGCCACCTTCCAAGCATACATGGACGATAAGTTTCGACAAGAAATTAATGAAGGATGGTTGGTTGTCTACATGGACAACATCCTGATTTTCTCTAAGACTCTTGAGGAACATCAAAAAAGGACACAACTGGTACTGGAGAAAATCAGACAAGAACAGTTATTCTTGAAACCGGAGAAATGCACCTTTGATGCCAAAGAAGTTGAATACCTCGGAATGGTTATCAAACCCGGACACGTAGAAATGGATAAAGCTAAAACCGACGGAATCAAATATTGGCCAGAACCTAGTTCCATAAAAGAAGTCCGATCCTTTTTGGGATTCTGCAACTTCTACAGAGCTTTCATATCCCATTATTCTGATATAGCTCGACCTCTTATTGACCTAACAAAAAAGGACGCCATATTCCAATGGGATTCTCTATACCAAGAAACATTCGACCATCTGAAAACATGTGTTACCACTCATCCGGTACTCCGTAATCCAGATCCACTCAGACAGTTCGCTATTGCCACAGATGCCTCTCTTGTAGCAACAGGCGGAGTTCTTCTACAAACCGATGACAACGGTGTGTATCACCCCTGCGCTTACCTCTCCCAGTCCCTTAATCCCGCCAAGCGCAATTATCAAATCTTTGATCGGGAGTTATCAGCCATCATTCGTGCCCTGATGGAATGGAGACATTATCTCAAAGGACACCCTTCCCCTGTGATTGTATTCACCGACCACATGAATCTACTTTATTTCAGAAAAGCAGAATGGCTGACTTGTCGACAAGCACATTGGCAAATGCTTCTTACTTCCTTTGATTTGGAACTTCATCATGTGCCTGGTACGAAATTGGCGGTACCTGATGCTCTTTCCTGCACACCACCCTCGCTACCTCCTGCCCTCTGGACGATCCATTATTCAGTACGGCCGCAGACGCCCTGCATGGCATTTGCCTCCCCCCTATGAAGTCAGCCCTCGCTGATTGGAAAATCGATTCTAATGTTTTGTACTTCAAGAATCGCGCCTATATTCCCCCATCCCATCACAAAACTATCCTCACTCAGTACCATGATCATCCTACTGCCGGACATCCTGGCCATTTTAAAACGGAAGAACTGGTAAAATGAGAAGCATGGTGGCCAGGCATGGGATCCTTTATCCAAAAATATGTTGATGGATGTGCGGTATGTCAGCAAATGAAGGTCAACACCCATCCGGTGACCCCCCCTGACTCCTATCTCCTCCACCGCCACCAGACCATTCTCGCAAATCTCTGTTGATCTCATCACCGATCTTCCCTTATCCTCGGGCTTTGATTCTATCATGGTTGTGGTAGACCGTGGGCTTAGTAAGGGGGTGATTATTATTCCCTGTCACAAAACAATTTCCTCCGAAGGAGTAGCCAAACTCTTCCTGAAACATGTATTCAAGCGTTTCGGATTACACGGCAAAGTAATCTCCGATAGAGGACCCCAATTCCTTTTGAAA